CTTTGGTTTCTATTGTTTAAGGGGTTGCTTATCATTAACATAAAACCCATATTGAATATATTCATATTAGGAACTTTAAAATACGCTAAAAATGAAATGAAAAATAAATGACTATAAAATAATAACAAATTAAGACTATATATATATATATGTATGAAAAAATTTATAAAATATTTCGATTCCCCTTTTTTTCTAAACATAATGATTTAGTGCCGCATTTTTCAAGAAATTGCATTGGGTTTTAATATCCGAACACCTCACTCCCCCAATGAATTATAATGGAATGAGTGACAAAAAAACAAAATTACATTTCGCGTTTTCAGTGGTATTTCTAAATGCAGTGTAGACTACCCGGTAACATAAACAATAAATGTAACTTGTTTACCTGGTAAATCAATGAAAAATCTGTCGTATCGTGGTTCATTACCGTCTTGTGGTTGTACTTTAGGAAAGAAAACAAACTGATTATCTACGAACAATCTATCTCCAGTTTTACTGTCGGAAACTGACCAAGGATGTGTCACAAAAGTATCTATACTGTAAATCCCTCCAGATTTTATTACGGCATATCGTACAAGTTTCCCCGCATAGTCATGCCAATAAAGAGTAACGTTCCGAGGAGATCTATTTTGAAATGATACATATACGGTTTCGTCACTTTTTAAAGATTTAATATCCTTCTTATCCGTCGCCATTACTAATTTTATAGATTTGTTGTTTTTATGAAATGCACAGATGTTTATACTGAGAGATGTCACGTACAACTGTTCATTGTACGACGCGCCTATTTTACAAATATGTACATGGACTTCATTTTGTAAAATATATGATCATATATCCTCGGGCTTACATGAACATGTCTAGTTAGTAAGTTTTTAATACTTGGACTGGTCAAGGTGTGCTTACATGGTCCACAAATTTCTTTCCACTCAATTTTTTACTGATTAATTAATCACAATTATTTTTTATTGTTAATTATTAACTTTCTGATTCATTGAGTCTCGACATAGTATAACCTACTTTTGTATTTCGCGTAAATGTTTTTGTAGTCGATCCACAAAACCAAAATATAAGTGAATTACGCTTTTTCCTGATACGGCCTTTATTGCATTCTTTTTAGTTTTATTGTATGAATCACAATTTCATAAAAATCCACCGAACCATATTCTACAAAGATATTTGTAATGATACTGGTATATATTTATTCTCTTATTCTTTAAAAATAAAATTTTAAATGTAAAAATTAATCTATCCAACTAAGCTCACTTTTCCTTAAATTCCCCCTCTTTTACTGCTTTGTATATTTCTTATATATAATAGATATTCAATGTATATTCAATAGTGTAATGTGCATTGTCCCCAGGATGGCATTTTGTTTCAGATGAAATGTATAATTTGAATACGACTATAGATTAAACTCGATGAAACTATTTACCAGGACTGAAAATATTGCAATTTAGAGTGTATAGGAGATGGTCTGGAAAAGGGGGGGGGGATAATTCGGTACTTTTTATTTATTAAGCCATAAATTTGTTTATAAATTTTACCTTTAATTCTCCATTATTTATATTTTAGCTCCCAAATATTCTCTATTCGTTATCTTGTTTGCCTATTTGTCTTTATTCTTAATTTGTTGGTCCATTTTCTATAGTATTGGCCAATTATTCTCTATTCTCGTCCTAAACATGCATGACATATTTGCCACTGGACTCAAGCAACAAACAATCAATCAATCTATTCTGTAAACCCCATCCAGACCCTCCAAGGACAGCATGATTAATTATCAGCAGATTTAGCGTTTGAACTTGTTTTCAACAGCAATTAGCAATTGCTTATTATCATTACTTGTGCTCTTGTTATAATTAGCTAATACACCATTATTTTAGAGCTAAGTGTCTGTCCAGTACCGGTTGTATTTTAACATTTTATGTATCGCTTGCCGGTTAATAATCGGGATAAAACGGGAGAATATAGAGATTCGAAAAACGACTTAAACCCACGACATATTCATTGCCTGTCCCCCGTCAGGAGCCTCGATAATGGTTGTTTTATGTAGTATCTTAATGTGTCATGTTAATTTGAGAAATATGGTGTTGATGGAAGATCCTTGATGTTTTATATTTCTATTTACAATTTTTCCATACTGTACTCGGGCCGATTCAGTGCTTGAAATACGAGGCCGTTTATTATTTTCTTTTTATGGGGCATTAAAGTTTACCCTTGCTCGCCCGCTCGTCCGTCCGTACATACGTTCTGAAATTGGTTTCCGTTCTCTAACTTAAGTTTGCCTCAACCAAATGTTATAAAACTTATACACAATTCTTATTACCACAAACTCGGATCAAGTTTTAATTTTGGCGGCGTCACTTTTACCGTTCTGGAGTTATGCCCCTTCATAACGTTATATGCAAGCGGGGGCATCATTTGTGTCCCATGGACACATTCTCCATTTATTTTTCATGGTTTTACGTATACCCCACATCTCTTTTTATTTATATTTGCTTTGTGCGTTAATAACTAAAAAGTAAATTATACGTTCTTTAGATTGTCGAATCATACGTCCTCTACTTCTTATCAAATTAAATCATATTTGACCTTTTTGAATCTTGGGACATGACATTTCTGACGCAGGTAAAAAAAAAGAGTTTAAAAAAAAAACAATATTTATTCAATGAAGGCAATAATTATGATATACAAGCTACCTGTAGTTGAAATTTACACCCAACAAATTTTAGACAAAGACGCCAAAAACAGTTTGAGATGAGCTCGACCATGTGCAATGACAAAATGTATAAGTTTCGAACTGTTAACAAAACATATTCACAAAATCAATGAAGTATCGAGTGAAAAAGTATTCAAAGTTCTTATTACAGTGTATTTGGTAACCTCTAAGAATAAGTTTATTCACCAGATCAATCAAAATGTTTTCATAGATTTTGTCTAAATACGGACAATATTAACAACTTTACCGTAAAAGAAAGGTGGAACTTGCCAAAAATAATATTCAACTAGAATAGTCAAAACCTGACAACGCCATGGTAAAATCGAAAATCAGTCAAAAGACAAACAACAGTCAACAAAACACAACACAGAAAATTAGAAGACTGAGCAAAACGAACCCAACGAAAAACGATTAATCTCAAGAGCTTCGGAATGGTCTGCGGATCCTGCTCCAAATGTGACACCCGCCGTGTTGCTTATATCAGTACACATTTGGTGATACATTGATATATCTAATTCGAGGAAAAGAGGACGGGACTGTGTAACTACGATTGGAACGTTTACGTCGCCATCTGTGAAACGGTCAACCATCTCGTGTAGTCGTCCACAAAATTTTTGAAGGGACGATTTCAACTTCACCACATGGACCCCTTGGTTTAATGGCTTCCTTGTAAGCAGCAAATCTATCTAATAAATTATGACAGGAAAGGCTATCGTATCAACTGGGAGATATGCTCCATATGCAGGCGCTGTTGGATATGATATCCCGTTTGTGATAAGTCTAAGGTACTACCAAATGTCCAAACGAAATCCTTGTATGTGGGGAAGAATTTAGTAAACGTTTTAAATAATTTGTGGTAACGAAATCCCTGGCTTAAAGAAATTACAATTTAAACATGAAAATAGTTCATTGACAATTAAAACGTCATTACAGAGACGGACATAGCAATGAGTTTCGAAATAGATAGACCGCAAAAAGTGGTCAAAAAAGCAAAACAAAACTAACAATATGTAACGAAAAATCGTCTCTTTTGATGAAACTATTTGTTTGCATTATGGATGTAATTGTCATGTCAAAATGTTCATGCCTTTTGAGGCCCTCTGGGGAATAAAATGTTCTTCTTCTTCGATACGCATATGTTCATGACCATACACATAAGGTCCAAATAACATTGACACTACCATTTTTTGCACCATATGCGCATTTCGATAATTAATGTCTCTTCAGTGATGCTCGAAACCAAAATATTTAAAAATTAAAAAACTTAATAAAACACCGAAGAACTAACAAAACCAAAAAGGATCAAAAGTAAAGCCAAACCTGGAAAGGAATCAGAGCTTTATATTAGGGAGATACATGTATTTGGCAAAACTTTTAGGAATTTTGGGTCCTCTTATGCTCTTCAACTTCGTACTTTGTTTGGCCTTTTGAACTGTTTTGATGAGAGCATCACTGATGAGTCTTTTGAAGACGAAACGCGAGTCTGGCGTACACAAGTTCAATCCTGGTATCTACGATGAGTGTTTTTCCTTAATATAAAATAATTTTGAAATTTTGTAACAGCAAATTTGAATTTTACATGACAGTACCGAAGTACTAGCTTCGGAAAGAGTTCCAATTGGCACCTCCCACACAATAAACTATAAGGTGTTACATGTATGTGTATATTTCGTAGAGTGGGTATGTCATATGGAACTCGTACCATAACTTTTGGGCTGGTGATACACTCGGGACTAACAGTCCAGCATCAGAGGTATCTACCAATACTCATATGGTCCGGAACATGTACAACTTAAAATTAATTAAAAAAAAAGATACCCAAACATTTTCACAAAATGTAAATTCTTTGAAAATGATTACAGAAATTTCATAATTCGTAACAAAATCACGAACAAATCTTTATCAAACCATGACCACATGTTCATAAAATCTTCTGAATAGAATGCCGTAACACGTCGGGTGTTACATTTGGAGCAGGATCTGCATAACTTTCCTGAGCACCTGAGATCATTCTTGTTTTTAAGTGGGGTTTATGTGGCTCAGTCTTCAGTTTTTTATATTGTGTTTTGTGGACTGTTGTTTGTCTTTTGGTCGTTTTTCGTTTTTTGCAAGGGCATTGTCAGTTTGCTTTCGACTTATGAGTTTGACTATCCTTTTGGTATCTTCCGCCTCTCGTTGATTTAAGCAATGAAAAGAGTAAAGTGGCTTCACATATTGCTGCCCCAAAAGTAAGACTGTGTTTGTAAAAGCAACAACACAATGAATACAGAAATTACACTGAAATAATCAAGACAATTGTATTGACAATATCTATAACACAGAATATAATAAAAGAGGGTTCATTCATGTCCAAAGCGGCTATGCCAAGTGGTAGCTAAACATGTATACTTTGAAATAGTTATTTGTTTTTATAGTAATTAAGATCATAACACAATGTTGACATCTGTAACCGAATTTTTGACATTTCTACCTATTACTTCGTTTTGTTTTGCTCACATATTGTTGTCAATATAATGGAATTCTATGCGACTGTCATACAAGTGAGAGGCTTAGTTGGCTATAAAACCTTGTTTAATCCTCCCTTTTCTATATAAGGAAATGACTGTACTAAGTCAGTAATATGGAAGTTGTTTTACATTCGTTTTAGCTTTTGATTTTGCCATTTGATTAAGGACTTTCCTTTTTGAATTTTCCTTGGATTTGGTATTTTTGTTATTTTATTTTTTACATGCGCACATCACTTAATATTTTGACTAGATTTGAAAGTGTCATCAAAAATCGAAAGTCTGTAAAATAAAAAGAAAGGTACAGGTTCTGGAAAGTTGAAATATGTAATTTCCTTTTTAGCTTGATCGTTTAGTTTTTAGGGGCTTCACTCATATAGAACTAAATTTAACAATACGAAATGTCATAGATATGTGCGAAATTGTCCTCGTTTGAAACTACCATCTGCTTCCTTATGCTGTCAAAAAATATCGTACTCGGTTTAGTGAGACCATATTTCTTGGTTTGTATCTCTTTGTATTGTTTTCCATCAGGAGAAATCACAACGATATTCTTAGAATCAATCCCAACGACTAAAACATTTCTCTTTATCGTCTACAGTAATTCCTCCTGGGTTCTTTAAAACACTTTCATTCTTGAACTCCCAAACTGATTTTCCATTATACAAACAAGATACTTTACTATCATAGGGCACAGTATAGAAAAAATTGTCACCATGCGTAGCAATATATGAGTCCTGCGACGTTAATATGTTTGGAATATTGGTACAGCTAAAGTATGTACATGATATCATAGATATGAAATTTCCGGTACAGCAGCAAATTAATGATTTACCATCGAATGTAATGCCAAAAGGTGTACCAGGTAATTCAAAGAACCGCTTTATTTCTCTGGTGGTCAAATCACAATTAAAACACAATCCTTTTCACTTGCTATTCCAGTAGTTACGGCTACTGTATTGTCGTCTATACATGCTAAATCAAAGGCACTATATGAGTCTAAAAGTTTGATGGTATATTCAGTCTTACCATGTGAGTTCAATGCAACTAGGCTGTCTTCATCGTAATCCGTAAAAATGTATCTACAATTTGCAGTTACACAACATCCCCTAGTTTCAACACATGAAGTTTTTAGTTTCTGCCTAAAATTTAATTGTATGTTGTTTACAGATCGTTTTTCTTCTGTCACAAGTATTTGAGCTTGTCTGTCTTTCTTTCTGACTAATTTGATGCTTTCAGACGGCTTGCTATCAACCAGAATGGAACCAAATTTCTTTACATTAGTTAGAAAATCCTGTATCTTAGCATCGATGGTACAATCTAAGCCAACTGTTTCTACATTCTTTTTTTGAACAATGGACTGGATGCAGTGCTCGTTTTTGGTGATATTCTTCAGGATCTCTCTCATACCAAGGAATGTTTGTATATCGGAAGCATAATTCTTCATGTTTTCGATTTCTTTGTTGCAATGAACTATTCCTTTGATTTGATTATTAAGAGAAGAAACGATTGACTGAATCTTTTTGCAACATTCCTCTTCTATTTTGTCAAGTTCTTTCATGAATTCCTCTTGCAGGTTATCAAGGTGCAGGTTTATCTGTTTTTTCATACACCTTACATCGATCTTCGATGATCTGTTTCTTTTTATTCCTAATCATTTTTATATTTTTTCCCTGTCCTCTCTGTTTCGATCGATATTAGCTATCATATCCTTCAAGCTCTGTTCCATATCTCGGAACACTTCCGATGACTTTACGTTCATTGTAAGTTCTTCAAGAAGTGTAAATCCACCGCAGTTTCCATGTTCTTTAATACACTTGTAACAAATTGAACATTCATGCTTAACACAGTATTGTAGGTATTTCTCATTGTGATAAATGCATACTAAGTCGATATTACCGATGAACGAAGGTAAATTGTTGTAGTCCGATATAGGGATGATCTGATGGCCTCGGGATGATTTTGATAGACTATGGTGTTCTTTACATTGAGTGCACAGTGCTTCCTCACATTCTGGACACCAGTGCGTAGAGGATGTGGTAAGATGTCGGAGATCACATATCGTACACAGTGAGGTATTGGTAGCCATTTTACAGTTAGTCTCACTAATTAAATACAAATGATATGATCTTTATTTTCTTCATTAGATTTGGTATGACAATCCGAAGACTTTGAATATAAAACGAAAAGTTTGCATAGTTTAAATAGTGTATCAATCGCACTGCTGACCTCATATAGATTATGTTACCTTTCAAAGGCGACGTTTTTGTTTGATGTTTGAAATACCGGTATCAAAATTTATTGTTTTCTAAAATAATTTGTTCATATGTGTTGAAAGTAATTCAATGACTACAGATACTATATGAATTAAATAATGTTCACAACATAAGTGTAACAAATATCAGTATTAATATTTTTGATTGTATCTTACGTTTTTTAATTTGGGTCCTCGAACTTCTTGCCCGTAATGAATAACTGCCAGAAACTGTCAGCATAGCTTTATTTTGAAGGTTTATTGTTTATATCTAAACATGATCAATGGCATTATCAAAAGATGTTTTGCTTGTGTGAAATATATTTGTAGGCAATTTTGCTAAAATTTATTTTTGCAATATTATTTTTAACTACGAGCAATACATTTTGGTCAAATATATAAATTACAATACCGATAGACTTATTAAGAGATATCATTTGAAAGTGTTGGAGATATCTTTGCAATTCAAGGACAACATAATGGTTGTTGTCAAACGCTCTTGAAACTTTACAGTTCAGATGAATTCTAAAAGCGTTTTTGTATTCCTAATTCAAAGCAGATTCTTAATGTGTACCAAATATATACCCCCTTGTTTGGGGGCGCTTTTAACCAAGTTTTCTGGAAGAATAAAATATCTCAATGAAGTTAAAGCTGTTTCTAAATATCTATTTTGAAACCTAAATGTTCAATCGTGACTTCATAATGACATCACCACTGACTAAATACAGTCATGTACATCGTAACTCCTCTGTTTCATATTAATTTATATTTTTGTCATTTATATCTACAATTGCCAAATCGAATTGTAAGTGTAAATTGTTTTACAGAGCGCGATTAGATATTGCATTTTTTGGATTTCATGATTTACTTAGTTTTGTTTCTGGTTCCAAAAAAAAAGCTGCATTTCTTGATATATAAATGAACAACGGTACTAATATGGTCACGAATTGAAACAAGTAAATTGCATCTTGTCCACTTGTGTTCGATTAGAACAGATGTCTTAGTTCTCATGTTTACATAATTAAATTCATGGGATTTAACCCTAACGCTGTATTGGTTTTGATATAAGTGGGGTAGGCAACGTCAATGAGACATCAATCAAACGACTATAATACCAAAAGACATCTACAGCTAATAAAAGACAGGTGCCTGTTCGATGTTCCTAACTTTAAATTGATCGGTACTTATACATCCCGCCATTGTGTTATTGTGCTATGGTCATTTTTGTATTCCTTTCTTTCATTTCTACTTATATTCTTTGTCTATATGTTTTTCTTTGTTAACATATTTGTTTGTTTTTATCGTGATTAAGATTATAACACAATGTTGACTGCTGTACCCCTATTTTTGACATTTTTACCTATTATGTCTGTTTGTTTTGTTCAAACATTGTTGTCAATATAATGGAACTTTATGCGACTGTCATACAAGTTAGAGGTTTAGCTAGCTTTAAAACCAGGTTTTATCCACCATTTTCTACATAAGGAAATGCCTGTACCAAGTCAGGAATATGACAGTTGTTTTCCATTCGTTTGATGTGTTTGAGCTTTTGATTTTGCCATTTGATAAGGGACTTTCCGCTCTGAATTTTCCTTGGAGTTCGGTATTTTTGTTATTTTACTTTTGACAAAATCTATAAAATCTGAACACAATTAAAAAGAACAATGAAACGATGGCATTTATACTAAAATTCCTCAAAATAGATAGTCAAGAACACGTGTCCACAGGACACCATTGACCCACTCGCACTATCATATCTTCATGCTAAGTAACTATTAAACAGGGACAAACGCGTAAATTGGTATATTAAGTTAAATGTTAATCTCACAATGAACATTGGGAACTTAATTTCAAGTTGATCTTCCCCCAACTGATTGTAAGCTACCTTAACCCAAAACTTTAACCTTCAAATGTACTGATTTTACACTATCAAATTTGTAAGTTCAGTGAATCTTAGAAGACAGAGCAAAAAATAAAATAGCATTTAAAGACGTTATTTGGGACTACGTACTAGGCCTGCTTATATCTTGTATGACACGTACAGTATATGATAGGGTTAGTTGAAATACAGAACGTTTGACGTTATTTTTGTCTTCTATTTGGACATTCGCTGATTGAAATTAAAAAAAAAATCATCTGCAAATTTCAAATTACCGTTTATTTTGAATTACAAAAAAATAGAGCATTGTAGAAAGTAATAAACAGTTAAATATTTACCTTACATCGTAACAAGGAAGTTTGTCGTTTAGACAGATTTGTTTACCTGATACAATGCACGTACTAGTATAGGTAATCAATAATAAAGTTGAGTTATCGCTCTTTTCCTTGAATAGATCAATGAATCAATCAATGAAATTGTTAAGAATTTTGTTTTCGTGAATGCAGCTAATCAATGAACAGTTTTTCTGCATCAGTCAAAGATAGATTTAACTAGATTTTGAGCATTTTTTCTTAATTTTATGGTAACTTTGCTCACAAACTAGATATTATGTTAAAATACAGGTCGTTTGACGTTACCTTTTCCCTCCTTTTGGATCATTCAATGATTGAAATTAAAAAAAAAAAAATCAAAAGTACTTTTCAAATTACCGTTAATCTTGTATGCAATAAAGTAGAAAGTAACAAACAGTTAGATATTTACCTTACATCGTAACAAGGAAGTTTGTCGTTTAGACAGCTTTGTTTACCTGATACAGTACACGTATATGCAATCAATTATAAAATTGAGTTATCGCTCTGTTCCTTGAATTGATCTATGAATTGATCAATGAAATTGTTAAGAATTTAGTTTTACTATGAATGCAGCTAATTAACGAACAGTTTTTCTTCATCAGTCAAAGAAAGGTTGAGCTAGATTTGAGTATTTTCTTCGAAAGTTTGACATAACTTTTTTCTCCTTTTGGTGCATTATTTTGATGATTGCAATTAAAAAAAAATAAATCATACTTTTCAAATTAACGTTAATTTTGTATGCAATAAAGTAGAAAGTAATAAACATTTTAATATCTACCTTACACCGTTACAAGGAAGCTTTGTTTACCTAATACATCATTGTACAGTACACATATATGTAATCAATGATAAAGTTGAGGTATCGCTCTTTTCTCTGAATTGATCAATGATTTTGTTAAACATTTGAAATTTGTAGCTCGTCAAGTATAAAGGTGATTATATATCCTTGGCTTTATTATTTTTTCAGTTTTCAAGAGCGATTTGGATGAATGATAATCAAGAAAAGCGCTCCGGACAAACGTAATTTACAAAGTGTAATTTTCAGTAAGATACACGTAGTGGCATCAATCTGGGGATTCTAAGGGAAAAAACGATGAGCTGCCAAGTGATGTCAAAAGCTTTTCGCAGTTTATATAATCAAATAATACGAAGTTGGTAACTGTTGCATCAATTTGAAGTATGTATTTCCAAGTTTTCAAGTTTTACCATCATTTCTAAAAATGTGAATATTTGCTTTTAATTCTAGTGTTTTTATTGGCTTACACGTTACTTATTGTCAGTAAAAGTTCCAACTCCTAAAGTTAATTTTTGATACATTTAGAAATTTTTTCTATGTCCTTTTTAGAATTATAGCTCTTCAACTGTTTCGATTCTTATACATTCTTGGCTTTCACAATATCCATCTGTGAGAGTTCCTGATGAATGTAAATCTAGAAAAGCGATTCGGACGCATAAAATTTATAAAGTGTTATTTTAATTTTTTATAGCACTGCGTCGATACCTCTGCTGGTGGACTATCAGTCCTCGAAGGTATCATCAGCTCAGTAGTCATTACTTAGGTCCTGACATGATTTATAACATATCTTTCCTAACTTGTCCGTTTATAAATTGATAAATTATAACGAAACTAAGGTTTCAACTCCCTCAGACAAAGTTGATCTTACATGGGTTTGGCAATTATATTTAGGTCCTTTTTGGTCATATGACTCTTCAACTGTTTCGGTTCTTTTAGATCCTTGACGTTCACAATATTCGGCTTTGAGAGTTCATGATGAAGGTAAATCCAGAAAACATCTTCGGACGATTACAATTTATAAAGTGTTATTTTCAATTTTTTGAATAGAGCCAGTTGTACTTACCCTTCCGGAGTTCCTGAAATCATCTCTCATTTTTTGTTGGGTTCGTGTTGCTCTATATTTATTTTTTGCCATGTGTATTATTAGACAGTTGTGTTGGTTTGTTTAGTGTTTTTTTTATTGGTCTAGGTTTTCCGAAATAAGGCCAACAATTACAAAATCTAGGAGATATACAACAAATCATTAATAACAACATATGGATTACATATTGATTTCAAAAACTGAAGTTAATCATAATTATAGATAGGTAAAAAGTAAGTAAAATAAAATTATGTGTACCTCTGACAGAACAATAATATGCAATGTAAGAGAAAAGTAACTGATAGCCCCATAATTAGGTTCAAAGGAGATCAACCAGAATATTTCGTTTTGTCACAAAGTCACAATGTTTGTGATATCAAAAAGTATAAGTGTTACTTAAGAATTGAATGCTTCGTTTTGTAAATTTATTTGGGTGTAAAAGCGTTGACCGAAGTACATTTTGTATGAAGCGCTTCATTCTAAAAATGTGCGCGCGGTAAACGCTTTTACAACCCTATAAAATTACGAAAGAAGCATTGAATACTTATAACTACATTTTTTTGCTAGGATAATGAAAACACGATTTCGATCAAATTATTCTTTTATTTACCTGTGCACTTTATTGTGGAAGCTCGTGTCATCATGAATGTTACATTTCATTTTGAAATGAAGGTTAATTTCAGAATGACGCGAGATTGCTGTTAGCCAATAAAAATAACGTATTATAATAAAACATACATGTAATGTAATTATTACATAATACTATTTAGTTACTCCATGATAAAGTGATGTGGAAAACAATAGCTTATTTTGATTGTTCTGCGTCATTCTGCGTTTAATTGAACTACTGAAAATTTAAAAGTTTTTCCGATGTAGAAGATGTGACGGGATAGGTTTCGAAAAAATAAAAACTCTTTTTTTAAATTTTGATACCATTATTTGTTATCAACATTTCTTGAAATCCCAACAATTCGTCTCGCATTTCTGACTTTTTCGCAATAATAAATGCACGCCAAAATTTCTGAATTTACTGCAATGTACAGTCTAAAAACATGTTGAGTTCTTGTAATTCTGTTGAATGTGAATATTAATAGCATGAAAATGACACCAGATCTGATTTCAATTGTTCCTAAAAATTAGACACAGCCAGGCAAAGGGATGGCGTAACGTTCGGTTATATTATACCAACTAAAAAAATTGGTACAAATTTTCTTCTGAAAAAGATTCAGTTTTTTCAAGTGTGTTTTAATTATTTCCATATTTTTCCGCTCGTGGAATGTACTCCTATACTTTTAATTATTTCCTCCAAACACTGAGTTCCTCTTCCGACATTTACCAAAGCATTGATCAGAACAGCTATGGTTGGTCTGACTCGCTGATCATCTTTCCATTTAAATAATATTTCTTTACATTGTGCCACTAAATTCCGTCTATTGTTGTACTGTATAGTATCTAATGATGTTATAGATAATCCTAATTCTATACCAAGTTGGTAGGCTACTACACCTATTACTTGTGCCAGCTCATCTAGTATTTCATCTGTTGGAATCACATCCATATTTTCCTCACTGATATCTGTAAAGAGATAGCAAGCAAATCACAAATATATTGTAAAGGGATCTAAATTATATTTTTAGGATAATTTCTTCTCATACTCGTAACTAAACACTAATTGAAAATTATTGTAAATAATGAAAATCAAGCTATCAAGGTTTAAAAAAAACAACAGACATGCACACAAATATGTTTGTACATTTTCCATGTTGATTAATGTGTCAGTGAGTTGTTTTTCTTATATTCCTATTTCCTTTAGATAAACATATATATTGAAAGTATTAATAACACAATGTAGTTATAATAAGCATTAATCAGTTTGCATTATAGATTTTTGTATTTTTTCAAAGGGAGATAACACAGGGGAAAATCAAATTTATTTAAAATATTCATAATTCACAAGCACTTTTGTTATATGAAGTTTAGTTTTAATCAATGACATAAAATTAAACATATCATGCTTTGATAATAAAAAAAAAACCCATAATTTTTCAGTTTTACTAAAAAAATATGTTTTACTAAAGAATAAAATAGAAATATAACAATACAAATTTTAAAACAAAATAATATCATAACATATCATAAACATTTAAAAGGTCTTTTTTTCCCAGTTTTACGATAGTTAGTATAGATCAATCTTTGTATGAATATTATGTAAATTATGTATAGAACACAACAATATTGGAAGTCACTGTACTATACTATACTATATCATACAAAAAAAGAAAGCAGTAATGTTCGATTTATTATTGGAATGACTGTAATATTTTTTCTGTCTATGAAGAAATAACATCAAAAATGTGGTGCACACTGAATGTGTTATTTAAAAGTGTGCACCACATTTTTTAGTTATTTCGAATAGACAGAAAAAATTACACTCATTCCTTATAATTTAATTCTAAATTCCATTTTTAAGGAGAAAATCAAGGAAAAAACGTTGATGACATCACGGTCACATGACAAAACTATATCTATGAGCTGATAGACAAAAAACTTTAAGCCAATCAGAAGACGTGTTACATCCAAAATTAAATTATAAGATTTTAACACAGAGTTGCCGCTAATGATGAGTTATAATTAATATATACGTACCATATTGTCCTTTTCTGATTCTTTTTGCCTGCAATGTATGGTATTTTTTTTTTAGAATACAATAAAACAAACCTTTCAATTTCAACGACACAAGAGTAAGCATGAATATGCTGTTACGGCAGATATTTTTGAAGGTTTGTTATTTCCGCGATTTAAAGTTTCTACCCGGTGTTATGTTGTTCATTTGCAATAATTATTCTAGCTCACGAAACTAACCAACATGCAAAAAAAAAAACCCCAATGTTTACAATATTTAAAGCATATCACATATGTCCATTATATTAATTAGGATACAATTTTCTTGATGCATAGCTAATAATGACCAATATTCTAACAGCAAATAGTTTACATTGTGGCAGAGTCCGTAGCTTAACATGTTCATGTCATATGACATGCATGTTATCATGAAAACTTACCAAACGTCATTAGGCATCAAACAGAAATCACTTTGTCTACATTATAAATAATTTTGGCAAATTGGCACTGATATGTTATCAACATTTTTCTATGAGCAAGATTGGAATAGTAGAAACATATTTTTAAACATTGTGGCCGATATCGTACAAGCCTCAGCAGAAATGATATGGACATTCTATCATTCTATCTAATCTGTATAGATTAACATGCCCTTTTCCATATTGGCCCTGGTATCATCCCGAGACTTCCATATCGGCCCGAGGCTTTAGTCGAGGGCCGATATGGGTCGAGGGATGATACCAGGGCCAATATGGAAAAGACATGTTATAATCTATTTATCACATATTGAAGTTCTACAGAAAAGAGAAAAAAGTTCAATTATAACAATTTAATGAAACAAAATAGGTAAACTCTTAAAAAATTTATCACAAAATTGTTATAAATTGTCGTTAAGGATGCAGTGACGTCACGTCATTTGGAATCAGGGCACAATAACCAATATACTCTTTTTTGCCCCTGGGCAATTTTGAGGTTATTACATATGCAAAACCCAACGTATTCGTAACAAATATGTGATAAATCAAAATACTTACCTGACAAAGCATATGGGTAGTAAGTTTCATATCTGTTAAAGCTTTTGCAATGTTTCCAAATCTTCCTTTATATTTGTCTCTCCAGTTGACCATAATTTTTAATTTAACAATCTGAATCTGATCATAATCGCATCTAAGGTCTTCCCATTCTTGAAATGTCATACCAAGATATATTGCTAACTTTCGTATTGTGGTACCATCACATCGTGAAACTAGTCGTTGAAGTTCAATATCACTCGGTATCTGACTCAAGGCACCGTCTTGTAAACCTAAATGTGTACACAATGATACATGATAATGAATCCCAATACCTTAGTGATTAAAGGTTTGTTAACATGATGTTTATTTGGTATAAAAAGTATGAATAACCAAAAATTAAGATTGTACTTCCTAATACAAGAGTACCTTTTACGTAAAATAATAACCAAAGTCAAGTTTCCAGTCAATGCAGGATTTGTTTAAATCAAAGTTCTTTAATGTCACCTTACGATATGTTTGTGATATCCTGTCACTCGACAACCCACATTTCAACGAATTTGTGCATCTCATATATCCATTGAACTTTACATTAATGGATACACCTGCCTCATATCTAAAAGAGGAAGTTTGAAGCCCTATGCCAATATGTAATTCTTTGTAGGTCAAATACCCTTTAACGTATTAATGTGTATATACATCCTTGGATTTTATTGGAATTTGAGCGCTCCAGATGAAGGCAAATACAGAAAAGCGCTTTGGAAGCACACACATTATAAAATGATTTTCGTCTCGACTGATGTCACTATACACCATCCAACCAATTAGCAAAGTACCATTCTATGAATTGTCTATCAAAAGTACTTTTATCCCGCATATAAGAACCATTTATCATAATGTGATTTTTTAGAGGTTTTTAAATAACATATTTTATGCATTTGAAAAGATGAATTCTTTGTTAATATTGTTATATTTGGCAAAATAATAAAAAGAACAGACAAACAACAACAGTTGACATCATGGGTACTATTTTATAGTGTTCCTCAATCTTGTTGAGGCAAAATCAATTTAAATACAAAAAGGAACTGCGAAAAGTCAGGTTCCTTTACACTGCTTGGAGGAAGATGCATCGACTTGATGCAATAAACTGGTAAATCGGATATCTTCAAAATCAAATCTTCTCCCAAAACTTTAAATTTTATGATTTGAATATAAAAATGATGTAAAAAGTAAAATAACAAAAATACCGAACTTGCAATTCCTCCTAAATTGTGTAGTTATCTGACACATTAGATTTGTATAAAAAAGAGAAAAACTTGGGCAATCAAAAAAATAATCAATAAGAAAATAGCTGATGAAAGGACAAACAACAATAAAACATCATTACATAGACAATTTCAGACTACGCAACAAGAGTGCCTACAAAAATCGAGGATGTACTCAGGTGCTCAAGTATTTCCTGCTCCACATGTGTTACCTACTAATATTAGGTTGTTATTCAATGGAGAAAATTCTTTCTTTGAATTAATCTAAAACCCCACAAATGATTGAAGGTCAGGCTATTCTTGCTGATTGGATTAATATTCATGAATGATAAATCGTTAGGCAAAATATATATGAAACCTTTACATTTATATAATGCAAAACTTATATTCATCTAAGTAATTGTGTGTTTAATAAAATATGCGTTTTGTTAAAATATACTTTTTCACTTTTTGGTTTTTTGGAAAATGTTGTGTGTGCTGTATTTAGACCACTCTACCAAGAAATTTGTTTTACATGCACACGTATAAAAATTGCGGTTTTTATCCAACTCAATCATAGGTTTGAACGTTGTTTTCAATTTAGACTTGTTTATAGATTATTATTCATACACTTTGTGTTTAAACATTATAATAAACAGTTTGATAATATCTAGATAATGCGATTTACCTGGGCAGTTCTCTTCACATTGTTCTTTTGCCTGAAACAAGATATTGCTTAGAAAAAAATAAACTATTCACAAAAATGGTTATAAGATGATAATTCTTTTTATGGATGTGGGCTAATATCACTTGTCAAATTTCATGATTACCTGGGATATTTTCCTCCAGTATTTTTCAATAAAGACCTATACGTATTGCTTTGAATGGGTAGGTTACAGCCCTTCATGTGACAGAAAGATGCGTTAGTAAAAATTGATAGGAAAATTAAAAAAGTAAGTTTCAAATGTCCAACATCACAGTGTGCAAATATTTGGAAAATGCAAAATATGTTATTGGTTAATTCTGAAAACTTCTATTCTAGAATCAAGCTTTTGTGAATAATCTAAAACCTCAAATAAATGAATAAGTGTTTTTCTTTAACAAAGGGACTGGTAGAACTGTTTAAGTCAAAAGAATAAATGATTGATCGCATGTGCAGGTGAAGGGCCTCCTTTGTCTTTGATATTAACGATAGTTGCGTTTTACCTACCTTGGTCTGTCAATCATATGTGCTGATTTAGGGACTCTTTTACCTTTGTTATGTAATAACCAGAGATGTGTAAGTTACATACCGTTGAAGGACATATTTTATCTCTATTGTCAACAGGAAAGTAGTACTTTTACTTATCCTGGTCTGTATATTATATGCTGATTTAGGGCCTACTGAACCTGTGTTTTCAACAGGACAGTCACGTTTTTACCGATCCTAACCTCTATATCACACGTGCCTGACAAGGGCCCTATCTACCTTCCTTATCAACAAGACAGTTGTGTTTTTACCAAGCCTGACTTGTTCATTACACGTTCTATCTTAAAGGCCTTATTTACCTTTGTTTTCAACAAATGAGTTGTGTTATTATCTATCCTGAACTACGCAATCCTTATATACCTGATCTTGATTCCAAACATTCCACTTTTCTTTAGTATGTAAAATCTTATGTTTATCGCAGATCCATTCATCAGTTGTCAAAGCTGTCTCTTCGGTGATATAACATCCTAACTTGGAGCATCCATATTTAATGTGGAAGGGTAGTTTGTGGCTGCTAGGGGTTGCATGGACTGTGGACTTATAGAATTCTGATATTCTCTCCAATGTATTGAACATGCATCCCTTGATACCAGTGGCTATATCTGGAACAATCAGCCCATTAGAGGTTTTATGGACTATGTAAAGCAGAATCCTGTTGCCTTCAACACATACAACAATGTCATGTACCTTATTAAATGATAACCCAATAAATCCTGAAAACAGTAGTTTTCTTCCTTTATATATCTTCGTGGTCCACATACTTAGACAGGCGCTGATGAGACGGTTTGGGAAGGCGGGTGGTATAATCGTCCCTTTAAAAACGAATGCCAGACTGATAGCTTTCTCTGGTGTGCATTCCTGTGTTATGAAACCCGTTTCATTTCTTTTTGTGAGCATACAAGGAACAAAGTAGTTTTCCACTTGTAGCCGACTCCCTGTTTTAGTATCATATCTACGCTGCTCTGATAGAATATCAAGGTGAATGAGCATATCAAATATGAACTCTTTGTAGGGTAATATTTTCTCAAAGTGCTTTTGTTCCCAAATAAGATAGAGATTTCTCCTTTGTATTATTCCACTTCTTGACATTTTTTCAAAAGTATTTCTTATGGACCCTCTCTTTGGCCAAAATTCAACATCTGTAAAATAGAATTAACCATATAAACAAGTAAGAAAGTTTAAACAATCAGTTCTATATTATCATATTATGTCATATATTTTCATTACAAATATTTACTACAAAATATGTTTTTTAACAATGTATATAGCGACAATCACTGCAAAGATTACCATCATTAAAAGAAAATTGGTAGTTTTGCTTATCCATATGATGTATTCGAATGCTGATGTCAAGTTTACAGCCCACGGTAAAATCACATCCACTGATTTGAATACTAAAGTATTTCTGCTTTTCATGTTTTGGCTATCTAAATTGGTAAACTTTATATATGGATCAGGGAGAACTGGACAAACTAAAAATTTTATTTCAGCAATTTATTTTCTAATTAAATTGATAACCAGTATATTTTGTGAGACATACTTGAACAATGTGCTTTACTCAACTCTGAAAATAAATATTTGCTTTTTAAATACAGACCTTTCATGTACTCGAGAAACATGTAACTGTACTAATGTGTAGTTTGTTTTAAATGTCGAGGTGGTATTTAGTGTAATTGTGTTCCCGTTAAATTCTTACTTGTATCTAACTATGAAGTACTTAATGATGACAAACATTTATCAAATGCCTTTCTTACACATTAAAATTGCAGGCTTAACATCGCTACTGTCCAACCCTATTAAACATGTCAAAACAAATATTCTACTGAAGTTTTAAAGAATGTAACCAACCCCTAGTATTTCTGGACTTAGTCAATTGTATTCTAAAATCTATCATAATAAGGAATACGTTCTGCTTATAGTTTGAGTGCCAATTCATGTTGCTTTTTCTGTTCTTAGAAAAAGTGACCACCATGTTAAAATAAAGATATGTTGTTTATTTAGTTATTGAGTTTTTTTTTACACTTTGGCTTCTTGTGATATAAAGGCTTCATGTTTGAAGGCGTATAGGGTCAGCAACGATAAGTCTTAGAGGATAACAAATATATACTATTAAAATTCGGAAGCATTTGATTTTTAAAAAATGTTTCGAGATTTTCTATTAATGTTTTTGTTCAATTTCCTTATTAAACAAACAGTGGAGGTCAGTGCAATTGTACTTGAATTTCAACTTAAATTTGAAAACGATCTGACAAAAGACTGGTGCTAGCCTGGCAAAAGAAATACTATGGGCTGTTTTTACCATTCTTCCTCCTGAGAAAATAGTATGATCCATATAACGAATAATTTTGCATAATTAATATAACCAGTAAGGACGTAATAATCGCAAACTGGAATGTGTCAAAATGGAAGTAATAGTATAAAATACCCGTAACGAAGGATCTCATTACTTCCACCAGAAGTAGCGGACTTATGATCACATAATCTCTCAATTGTGGAGTATTAAAATAGACAATCTTCCCAAGAGAGTGTTGGAAATGTAGAAAATCTCTGAGCTGTTCAGGGGACAGGACGGACACCTTGCTGATGGCATTCAATTCTTGAACCTCCGTCAGTGACAATATTTGCTTCCCGTCAGCTACCAACTCTGCAATTTCAAGTTCAAGGGGAACACAAGCATTTGGCATTTTCTCTCCCCAACATGGATGTTCAAACGTGAGATCTGTAATGGCTTTCTTCAGAATTTCAATTTCTGGGTCCGATTTGTCTGTTGCATTGACAAATATTCGTTTGTCAAGGACCAGATGATGTCGTCCTTCGTGGTCTTTAAATAACTCTTCTATTCCAATGTACACCGATTCACGCTGTGTATCAATAATCTCCTATAAAAAGGTACTAAATGAACAAATATTTGGTGTCTAAAAGTTATACCCTGAGACATGAAATAACTATTACCTAATTAACAAGTTTAGAAGGAGCTCATTTAATATAGGATAAGGTCATCTGAATCAAGCTGTTTGGCCTGACAAATAGTAAGTGCAATCCTTAGAAGGTTTTGTTAACGCAATGCAAAATTTAAACAAGAGTGTCTAACAGATCTTAAAAGAGCGAAAGATTTACATCTCATCACTTGCAAGCTGCTGACTTAAAACGAAGTAATTCTGCTCAGTAGTTCTCGAAAAAGCTTTATCTTGTCTGATAGAGGATGATTTAAAAACGGTTGAAATAAGTGGAACATACCCAAGTAAGATAGATCTAGTATTACAACGCAGAATTCTATAATATATATAACAAACGGAACATATCCAAGAAAGTAGTCTTATAAAGGTCGATTCGCTACCAGATACAACAAGAGAGGCGAAAGATACCAAAGGGACATTCAAACTCATAAGTCGAAAATAAACTGACAACGCTATGGTTAAAAAAGAAAAAGACAAACAGACAAACAACAGTACACAAAACATTACACAGAAAACCAAAGACTGAGCAACACGAACCCCATCAAAAACCGGGGATGATCTCAGGCGTTCATGAAGGGTAAGCAAATCCTGCTTCATCTGTGGCACCTGTTGTGTTACTCATGTTAGTACAAACCTGGTGATAAGTCTAATTCGGTAGGTCATATTCGGGGAAAAGGGGACGGGATTGTAGTGACGACAATTGGAACAAAATATATTCTATAACGGTCAACAAACTCGTGAAGGCGTCCGTAACATTTACGAAGGAATGATTTCAACTTCAACACTTGGAACTTTCGGTTTAATAGCTTCCCTGTGAGCAGCAACCCTCTATCAAGAAAATCCTGATAGGAAATACAAGCTCTGGAATATCGTATCAACTGGGAAATATATACTCCATATGCAGGCGCTGCTGGAATGTGGCTACATAGAAATCGAAAGTTCATAGTTGGGAAGCTGAAATCATCTCTTTGTCGTTAAGTTTTATTTTCAACCGACTCTCGTTGTCAATTTCTAGATGTAAGTCAAAATATGAGTCATATTTAACTGTATCTATTGTATCTTTTATCTCAAGTTCGGTGCGATAGATGCGTTCAACTTAGTCACCAAATTTAGAATTATTCATTGAGAGAACATCATCTATATAGCGGAAACTGAAGTTATGGAACCTAATCAAGAAATCTATTTATATTGTTATAAAGAAGGATTCGATAGAAGATACATCAAATGTAGGATATCCAAGTAGGATCGATCTGATAAATTGTTCTCTTTGTTACTTAATCTTTAATCTACAGAACTAGTGTTGCCAGTATGTTGTGTTCTTGTATTTTATTTTTAATATTTTCTATTGCACAATAGGTTTCCTCTTACTGATCATAATATTTACCCACTCCTGTCGATTCTGAACACAGTATTTTCAGAATGCAACAAATATGTTCTGTATACATTTGCTATTTTAGAATAATTCACCTACCCTTGGTATTTTGTCCTTATGAGTAGCTACGAACAATATCTTTGGAATGCCTGTATAGACAGCCTTGCAATATGTTAGGATGCAGTTAACCCAGTGTTGTAAAAATACTGAAAATACAAAATACGATTAGAATCGGTCCATTTGCACTTTCAAATATTATCTTAGGGCCGTTTTCACTTTCTAATATTATCTGAGGGTCATTTAATTGTCAATTTTTTTATGATTAACCTATTTTGCTTATTTTTTATGATATATCAATGATAATTGTCAGGTAGAGTGGCTCAGGAAATTTACTGATCCATTTTATAGCATTGTTTTGCTTCCATATGAGTTGAAAACAATCATTGTGGTCACAAATAGGGTGACATTGACTCACAGCTGTATGTTAAATTTGTCAGTAACATGTCAACCATGCTCTCTCTCCCACTAAAACCAAATGTTGTGTTGTTATACTGACACAGCAATCCATCAATCCATCAATGACTGTAAAAATGTTTTGCTCTTTAAATAAGTATCGTTCATGTAATGTTTACTCAATTCATATGAATAAAGTGGATATAATTATATACCATGAATAATTCTGAAATGACAATAATCCTTGTTTTTGTCCTTTAAATATTTATCAAAAATGTAAAGGCAAAAACAACTTTGGGTTTAATACAGAAATGTTGTTGCAGTTTTGTAGCAGCAGTAGTCATGAAAAACGTTCTGATTAGTCTTAACATCATATACAAGGATGGAAATGTGGCAGGAAATTCATATGGACAGAAGTAGAATTTCTAAGTCGGTGCAAAAGGAAAAAAACACTATATATATTTCGTGTGAAGTCGATTAATCTTCATCAGCAATACTCAAACCTAAATAATTAAAAATGAAAATAACACTTTATTATTTTCGTGCGTCCAGTTCGCTTTTCTAGATTTATCTTCACCAGGAACGCTCAGACCCAAACATTTGAAATCCAAGAATATATAAGACCTAAACATTATTTTACCTGCTGGAGTTGGTGTCATATGCTGCCCTGGGAAACACATCACATCGGGGACCTGTTCATGCAATCCTTTGCTTCCATCAAATACGACAAGAAACAAAGCTCTGTATGTCATAAAGGTTTGGTGTGTCGTATAATATACATATTGTCCACCAAAGTCCCAGAAGATGAGTTGTCCAATTTTCATCCTATATTTTCCGCTTTGAAGGAGTATTTCCATTTTCCTTCGGATATCATCTTTAGTTATCTTGGCTTTCATTTTCTTCTGAGGTGACAAAGAAAGGGCTGCTGGAGAGCGGTTTGAGAGATCATCTGATGTGTACGATGGGGGATCTAATGACATAGCTTGTGACTGCTGTAGGAGAGCACCTGGATTATTCCGGTTATCATCTTTATTTTTATACGGGCTAGCGAGTGATGCTTGTAGGGTTTCCAACGGGTCTGTTGACTTACTTTGTTCTCTTTCGTCTGGGGTCATTAACACCTTCTGGTATACAACATCACGCGGATCATACGTTTCTGTACGAAATAAAACACATCACTACATAGGAATATATCTGTTATATATGTATAACAAATTAATTATGATATAAACAGAACAATAACAATAAAACAAACCCTTAAGCCAATTAACCTTTTTTTCACTTAAAAAAATCAACAAACTACTGACATGCAACTATATCTCGTCTATTTGTAATTTTGATATTATAAGGCAAATGTTGAAAACAAGATAACAAGACTTGAACTTATGTAAAAAATCTAAATCGACAAGTTATATGTACACAAGATTAATTCTGGTTTTAACAGCTATGTACAATCACAATATCTGATAGTCATGATACATGTTTCTAAAACAGCAACAAGCCTGACAAGAATTAAAACAAAAACAACCAATAGCCAATACAATAGCCTATCAATCTGCTACCTCCCCCAATAAGAAACTGTCGAAAGAAAGATTTGTCACGCTAGTATGTATATATGTTTATTTTATAATTTTGAAACACATTGTATTCAAATAAAGTTGACCTATTATTCTAAGTATCTTAGTAAAGCGACTAATTTTACAATTTATCTGCAAGATTAGTATCAAGGTATCTATTTTTAATAAGGTCTAATAATCAAACGATTCAAATATCAATAATAAGGCAAATGAACTTATTGTCACATGAAAGCACTTTTGATGTCAAGATGTGAAAGATGAAAATGTGACAATATAAATTAATTGATTTATAATAAATTATTATTATGTACAGCATATTAAACATGATAAGTATACATGATCTTTTATTAGTTGTTGTTGGCTTTGAACTATCTGCCAGAACCTGCGAGTACTCTCAGATCTTTCCTTAGTTTCTCTTCTGTTGAGAGTTGTATAGATACGTTGCCACGTCCGGTCTTAGTCTTCGTTAGAGGTTTTCTGCTTTGTATCGATCTGATGAGATATGCTTTTTTGTACTTTTACACCACTGTCCAAGGTTAGGGATTTGTTTGGCGCCAGCAAACTAGTGTAACCCCGCCACAAGCTGTATGTGCCAGTCCCAAGCCAGGAGCCTGTTGTTCAGTAGTAGTTGTCAATGGTTCATGCCTGTCATATTTGTTTTTAACAATCCGTGTTGTTATAAATTACGCCGTCAGTTTTCTCAATGAACTGTTTCATATTTTTCATGTCGGGGCCTTTTATACGGTATGGGTTTTTCTCATTGTTGAAGTCCGTACGGTTGCCTATAATTGCTTACATCCACTTCATTTGAACTTTGGTGGATAGTTGTATCATTGACAATAATACCACATCTCCTTATTTTATATAGTTTAATATTAAATCAAATTGATGACTTTAACATTTTGAAAAAGACATCTATGTACAAACATTTTGTTTTCCTTTAGTTCAAGATCAACGTGTTTTCTTTATATATGTTTCTAAATTTTGATTGCTAATTTTGTGAATGTTGATCCTTACCTGGATCAATAATAATCCATTGTTTTGTCTCGACATCAAGGCCACAGCGTCCTTCAAGGAGAGAGATTCCGTCTGTAGGATGTCTCCCTTCTGGTATGACATCCCCGACTAGCAGCTTTACAAGAGAAGATTTTCCGACAGCAAACTGACCAGTCACCATGCATCGCATATCAAATGATTCATAGGTGCCTTTGCCCGTTAAACGATTAAGCATGTGAATGTTATCTGTAGAAATTTAATGAATATATTTTTCCCTTAAAAAATATAAAATTTTATTTAGTTCTGAAAAAGTAGGAGTTGAAGAAACTGAGAATGTAAGTATAGTTACAATGTTGACTGTAAAAAGTTCTTGATGAAGATAAATCCCGAAAAGCGCTTTGGACGCAACAACTAATTTAATGTTATTTCCGTTTTTAACCATGGATAAATTAAGGCTACAATAGTTTATCGATGTTGAGATAATATAAAATTAGTAATTTCAAAGACCAAGTCTAGCTTATAACTCCTCTTTTCTCCACGAAAAGATCACTTAAAAAAATTGAGCGTTCAGTGGCTTGTTTCAGTGAATCCCATTCAGCTTCACGACATGAGGCTTTGTAGTTTCCAGAAAAAGAGTCAAGAAACTGGTCAATCAGAACCAGGATTGCCTATGACAGCTACGTTTTTACATCCCTTTTAAAGCAGATGAGAAGTTTTTGTCAACGACCTACCATATTTCAATCCAGCAATCAGTTCCTGTACGAGGCCAAGTTTGTCCTTCTATGAGTTCTAGATTATTAATTTGATAAGTTTAAAAAATCACATTTTGTAGTCAGACAAATGATGGTAACCATCATAAATTTGAAAAAGTTAAATGGTTCACGTTCGTCAAAATCACTTTGTTCATTCTGTAAACAATCTAAGTGCAATACCTAATATCATATGATGGCGGACAAAATTGATCATGATTGGTAAAAAAATCAAGAGAATATAACTAAACCTTTACAACGAATCAGTTCATTTATTTTAAATTATTCATTTTATACTAAGGATTCTCCGGCAAATATTGCCAAAAGAGATCAGTGACATCTTATTTGAGTTTACTCTACACTGAGCGGTATTTCGGAAATGTTTGGGATAACTCATAAATTATAGGCCTTAAAGACCCCGGATCTTTTGATATAATATCCGTTGGCCAATATTTGGAAATCAAGAGTCAATTTAAGAGATATCTCAAAATAGGCGAAAGCCTTGTTAAGTTTTTTACATAGAAACTACTACAGGAAAATTTGAGTATCTTGACTTCCTGAAAATGACTTGTACTGATTCTTATACAACTGCATACCAAATATCATTGACCCACTGCTATTGATTCTCCTTAAAATGACCCAATCACAAACTAATACATCTTTGTCGCCACCGCCGCCGCCGGATACAGCTTATAACTTTTATAAGCTGATTTTTACATATTTTTGGATCTATTTTTTCTGATTAATTTTGGTATTCAAAGATTCAGTCTATGTACTATAGTGTCCAAGATATTAAAAAAACATTGGTAAAAATATCACTCAACTTCTTTGACCAGTCAACTGACGTTTTTGATCATTTTCTCTGATTTGCAGATTATTTTTGCTCCTTACAGTTTCTATATCTTTACTATATACCACCTCTCTGGTCTCTATGTAGATTGATTTGTATAAGATCTAACATTATTAATCACATGATCAATATATACGTGTTTTCTTCAATTGAATGAACAGTCTATAGATATAAGAAGATGTGGTATGAGTGCCAATGAGACAACTCTCCATCCAAGTAACAATTTTTAAAAGTTAACCATTATAGGTCAAAGTACGACCTTCAACACGGAGACTTGGCTCACACCGAACAGCAAGCTATAAATAAAGTATATCCACACTGAATAACAAGTTACCAACAGCATCATTAGACCATGAACAGTTAACATTCCAATAGGAAAATTAAACATGAGCATAGATCATAACATAACACTAGCTATTGCTAACTACACCAGACAGTATCATATGTCCCTACAGTAAGTAAAATAGAACTAGTGTTTCATGTCATCATTGATAAATACATCAGTATTATCCGTTATTATTTTTCATTATAAGCAGATCTTAAGATTTTTCATCTTTTTCAATTTTCAGAAGCAAGCAATTATATATAAGCCAAAGATAGAATAACAAGGATGTAAGGACTTACCTTCTGGGGTCTCTATCATGGCAGTCTACATAAAAATAATATATTATATTATATCATTTCTTTTTTAAAAGTTTGTTCGGAATAGAGCAGGAGTGTAGATGGTCTCCCAAACATCAATACTGTAAAGTATCAAAACACTTCGTCGTCATCAGATTTTTTTAAAGTCGGCTAATCATAATCATAGTTTGGCTATCGCGTTTATCTTATATTTCAAATTGAAAACAAAATGAGGATCTTTTGAACGTCAAAATGAATAACCATTCCTACCAAGTGACTAAATGAAAAAAAAAAAGAATGTGATGTATGCTCCTAGGAAACAGCAAGTCAACGCAAAAAAAAAAAAACAACTAAACAAACCAAAAGACATTCAAAGATCAGTGTACGAGCTCATACAATTGTTTTAACATGTATCAACCTCTAAATGGGATAACAAGCTTGGAACTTTCTCAATTGTCATTGTTTACTGACATGCAAAGGCTTAACATGAAAAGGGTAAAAGGGTCCAAAAAGACTGAATCGTTAACATGGATTTTTTTTGGGGATAAAACATTATCCTTTACTTGCCATATCAAAATAAGATATTTTCTATTCCAAAGCTCACGTTAGTAAAATTAAGCGCACTTGGATTTGTCAACTAACATCGTTAACTGACAAAAAATGCCATAATGAAAAATAGCAAGCTTAATGCAACAGTTTATTGTTGGTTTTTTTTGCACCAAGTCTGTTGTTTCTCTAATATTTTGTGATATATTTGCAAATCTCTTATCATATATTATAAGTAAGACAAACTATCTACCTGTAGGAAGTCCTTCACTTGTTTCTTTTTCAGTTTTTCCCTTTTAGAGTCATTAGTTTTTATTGTTACCTTATCATACGGAGTCTGACCCTGAAATACAATCAAGTACCGTATTACTTATATCGATCATACACGTACTATTTTTTTTTTATCTCAAAAACTGGTAGGCATAACGGACGATAACGGGTGATTATTGCATTTATTTCACTAACACAATACAGGATATTGTCTTTTTAAAATCAACTTGATATATTTTAAAGCAGTTGTATAAAAATATATCTTATAACAATTATATAGAATTATATTTTATAAGATTTTTTTATAATAATGAAATACAATTCTACTTCAATATAATATATCAAAGGAAACAATAAGCTAAATTAAATGTACATGTATTTGAGTTTTAATTACTGTAAAAAAATAAACTATTGCATGATTCATTCTTTTGTGTAATATAACTAGGAACCCTAAAACATGCAAGTGTTCAAAGCATTTGTGACTGTGAAGTATCATTATTCTTGTTTGGGTTCTGTTCACAAGCACAATGACTCATATAAAAGGTAAACATATATTACTATGAAGTATCATAATTCTTGTCATTGTGGAGTATCATTTGTTCTTGTTTATACATGATTAAAAGGATGACATATGTTACTGTAGAGTATCATTTTAATTGTTGTATGTTTTAATAACATTTTATCTTTGTTCTCTATTCATATCACAATTATTAATGAGTAAAAGGCCGAACTATATGTAGTATCATTTTCCTTATTGTTTTGCTCTTTTCATTAGCACAATGACGCGTGAGTAAAATGCTAACATATGTGACCGTTGAGTATTATTATTTATGTTTGTGATTTTTTCACAAGCACAAGCACAATCAAGTGACTGCACAATGTTCAATACTCATTTCACATCATATGAAGTGGAATTTTATCATGTTTATCAATTTAAATAGGACACGCATGCTGACGTGTAGAACAGTTTCGGAATTTGGTTAATTTATATTGTGAATTAGATCTAATAGAAATAAAAAGATGTGGTATGAGTGCCAATGAGACAACTCTCCATCCAAGTCACAATGTGTAAAAAGTAAACAATTATAGGTCAAAGTACGAACTTCAACACGGAGCCTTGGCTCACACCGAACAGCAAGCTATAAAGGGTTCCAAAATGACTAGTGCAAAACTAAGACTGAATGTTACCATTCGTGTTTTCACCCAAGGACTGCATCTATGTTCTGTCAACCATATTGCTATTTCAATCTGTCCATTTTCAGCAGCATAATGTAAAGCTCTTGCTCCATCCTATTAAAATAAAAACAATAAAACAAACGTTATAAGATCTAAGCAAATCATTTTCGTCAGGAAACTCAATAAGACCTTTACTATTTGTTTTACGTTACGAGTAAATTCACACCCTACTTGGAATAATTTGTATTTGTTGTCCTTTATATATCTTAACATAATAGCATATTTTTTGTGATGATTCAGTATAAGTAGGGGTATGATTAGACTGAGGATACAATATCTATCATTACCATGTCTTCAGCCTCTAAATTACAGCCGTGTGTTGCCAGATTACTGACGATCTCCATGTGCCCTCTGTAGGCAGCATACATTAATGGCGTCTTTCCAAACTGTAATGTCAACATGTTACTGACATCAAAACTTTTCTCTTCATCTCGACAATGTTGTTCAATTAATACAAATAAAATAGATATCACATGAATCAAATGGTTTCAATAACCAAAGTGCTACTTTCTTATTTTCTTATAATTTCAATAACCAAAATGTTTTTTTCCTATCATCCCATGGTTTCTTTAACGAAAGTTTCATTTTCTTATCATCCCCGGGTTTTAATAACCAAAGTTTCTTTTTTCTTATCATCCCATGGTGTTTATAACCAAAGTGTCATTTTCCTATCGTCCTACGGTTTCAATAAAAAAAAGTGTTTTTGTCTTATGGTGGTGTTAAATTAAAGCGACATTGCCCTGTCACATGTTAGTCATGAGTATAAAAGTGAGATAGCCAGTCATATATTGGTGCTGAGTATTAGAATAGAAATTTTAATGTCACATGTTGGTGTTGAGTATAATCATTGAATTTCAATGTCTCATGAATTGTGCAAACACTGTATAGAAAGGGTTTGTGATGAAGATTTTGTTTTGTTAAGTTCCATGTTATATTAGTGTTGAATAATTGACTGTTACATGGTTTGGGTTTATTACAAAAGTGGAAAATGACTGCTGAAGGATCAGGTGTCACATTACATATTCATTACTGGAGTGGTAAATAAGTTAAATATTGAAGTGTCGAATGTTTGTGCTGAGTAACAGAAAAGTGTTTGTTAAGGGTTATTTGTTTAGAACAGAAATGGTAAACATTAGTACCTTTAGTAATGTGTAACGAATTACTGTCTGAAATGTCTCATGTCCTGTGTTATGACGTTTGCAATATATTTGCAAACCAAATTGATGTTATTGTGTACAATACTATCAAACTTTATGATAAGTGTAATAAATAATATTCCAATATGTCAGTTGTATGTAATTATTAAGTTTTCAGACATTAACTCAAAGACATAAAACAGGAAGGGTATACATCAGTGTAATGACATACTTAATGTTGATTATAGTTCATCAATCCTGTGAAGTGTTTAAGAAACGTTTTGTTTTGTCTTTTTGTCTATTTCTATTGGCAATCGTATCTGTCTATTCTTCTTCTACTTATGTAGTTTGATGGTCCCCTTGACCTTTTCTTAACTTATTTGGCTTGAGTATATCTTTTGTACACATCAGTGTTTAATGAATAAAATTCTCACATTTTGTGTTTAATAAATAAAATTCTCACATTTCGTGTTTAAAACATAATTTCTATAGATAGGTGTTGTGTAATTGTGTGTTGAATGCTGAAGAATGAAAAATAACCAATAATTACCCTATTTATCATTGAATTAGCACAAACAAGAATGATTCTTATCTGATTCACCCTGGGTGAACTGTTTGATAAATACCTGGATATGTTTTAAATATTTATACTTCACTTACATCATCTTTACATTCCAAACTAGCTCCATTCTTTACGCATAGTTCTACCTCTTTTATGTTTCCCTCCGTAGCAGCTGTAAGAAGTTTCTGTAAGTAAAACAATCCTTTTCCATGTCCCACTTGAACATACGAATGTATCATAAATGTAAAAAAAATACTAAGCTACATACTTACAGTTTCAAAAGCTTATATCAAATATAGTGACTATCAAGAGGAAGTAAAATTGCTGTCTATAATTTCAGAGTTTTATTTAGAAAAGACTCTAGACATTTGTAATATGTATCAGTTTTGATATGACCCCAGTTTTTTGTTGGGCTCGTGTTGCTTAGTCTTTAGTTTTCTATGTAATGTTTAGTAGACTGTTGTTTTTTTTAGTCGTTTTTCGTTTTATACCATTGCGTTGTCAGTTTCTCTTCGACCTTTTGAATGTTTAGTATCTTTTGCCTCTTTTTTGTCCTCTGGAATTTTGAACATTAAAATTCTTTTAACTGTAGTCATTTCGATTTACTTCTAATCTTCCTCTGAGAATACTGCACACTTCTATCTTTCTCTTCATAGACCACAATATGTCACATGATCATTGACTTTTAAAAAGACATTTTACCTTATTCCAACTTATCATTTTATCCTACAAAAGAAAAAAAGAAATTATTATGTTTGTAGACAGGAGTTATAATCTTACGATACTATTTTAATCATCGTTGTTAGCATGATGTCATATTTTGATTGTTCCAATACCTTTCTACGATGAAGTTGATAAAATCTGTATTAAATAAGGGACGACCATTTAAATTCTGGGGTCGGGGTGGTGCAGGAGTCTTTTTTTTCGCTGATTGACAATTGATTTTTAGCCACGCGAATATTTATTTCTCTTTTGTACACAATTATTTCCTTCATTTGATGTTGCAGAATACTCATTTTCGTCCTGTCTTTTGCAAGATCATTTATTTTCCAGCTCTTCGCTGGCCAGGATAATCAGAACAAGATTTTGAATCCTCAAAAGAAGAGGAAGATGGTAAATAAAGACCAACAAGAAGGAAATTTGAAATAGCACCGTCGAAGAAAGAAGAATTTTTTTTTATCCAAACAGCGAATATTAGGGTCCCCGATATTATAAGGAAATAGCAAAAATCGTAAAGCAAGGATTCGTGTCAACGCTAGATCATAGGTGTAAAGAGGTAGACGAGCTGTTAGAAAAAATATGTTAGACCTGATAAATGTTACTTTTTCGAGGTGCCTTAACTAAATAACGTACAATAAACGTCCAAAGGAACTGGCAAACGATTGACTCCAATCGTAATTTTCAGAGAACTTTAAAGGACTCCATACAGCACTTGAGACAAAACATGTATATGGCATCCAGAGAGGGATATCACTTTCTCATGACAGAAGAATGGACGGAGGTACAACAAAAATCAGTCTGACTCCAAATATGTTATGTGCATATCAGAAAAAGAATGCAATACACTAGCATCTATCTGTACATTTCTTTGATAACAATACCTCCATTTTGACATTATAAACAACACACGTGTATTAGAATTTAAAAATGATTGGTTGAATGGCTGAACGATTCTCTTGTAAAACGTGGAAACGCATGTGAGCCACACACATGCCGTTCTATTTTATTCTATAGATTTTTATTTAAATTTATCAAGTAGTTTCAAGGAAGAGATTGAAATATAATTTATCATACAATTTCTACAGGAACTGATGTGACACTATGATTCCAATCAAATCAATATTAAACTAGAAATACTGCCTAGTAAACTACAGACAAAACATCAAAAGATTGTAATAAATAATTGTAAAAATACGACCTAATGATGATTTATGCAAACTTTGGTTTACATTAAGTAGAATTCTAAAGACGAATTCTACAACGACGAACGAGCTACAACGACAAAATATGAGACGTCAAATGATGAACATATGCGCTTTAATAAATATCTTTACTTAAAACTATTCTGAGCTGGTGTGTTTAACTTTTATCACTACTGGAAATGGGCATAGTATTCAGTCTTATTAAGTTACAATGAATAACCACTGTTCCGGGAACAGCAGACAACACCATAGTCAAACGAAAACAATATCAAAAACAAACAACACTATGCAGAAAACATTGATTAGGCAAAACAAATACCACCAGAAAACGGATTTATTCAGATGCTCGGAAAAAATAGTAGTGTTATCAACTAACAGATGAATTAACGAAGGAACTACATATACCATGTACTATGTCTAACCTGTACCAGTGTTTTGATACAGCTATGATGATATATTGTCATTATGTTCCTCTTGATATAACGAACGAAAAGAAATCCCAGCTCTAGTTTTGGTTGAAATTAGTTCAAGAAAAATATATTTGAACTAAGGCTCAATTAAAAAATTGAATGTTTGACTTCTACCGACCGTCCTCTTGAAAATTGATCGGATTTAAAATATGTTATGTACATTGCAAAACAAGGATACTATTCACTTGTATCTTTCTGTACAGTTAAAAGACAGTAACATGAATAATACATCACTTGAAAATGACTTTTCAGAAGAAATCTTACCAAGCGCCACCTTTCCCTTTTATCCTGCAAAATAAGAAGACAATTTACATGTTTTATTCATGTTTGTGTACATGAGTTCTAGTTTTACGATGAATATGCTGATCCTTGTTGTAGGCATGATGTCGAATTTCAATTGTCCCAATATCTTTAAATATAGAACATGACTCAATCCGTTGTTGCACCAAAGTTTGAACAAACTTCAACCCCTTAATTATATCTGATAATTTCTAAAACAATATAAGACTCTTTTTAAGATATTACTAGAAGGATTAACAATGAGAGCATACCAGATTTTGCTTACATCTTTAAGTGCCTTTGTTATAGCAATCATGAGTCACATCTAGGTCAAGTTGCGCAATTCATTTCAGGTAGCCTTTTCCTCAATTTCTCTGTCCATATCGTAACTTTTGATATACATAATGGCTCATTTCGATGCACAGACATTTTCACTTAAGTGGTAAAATTTTCGGGATACGAAATGAGATTCTTTTTCCCGTAATTTAGCACACCAAGAAAAGCCTTGTGATGCAGCTTCTTGGGGATGTAAGGAGGAACAACAGAAAACCATATAAAATGTCTATCCTTTACCAGTGTTTAGATATAATCATGTCATTATGTTCCTATCAATATAACAAATGAATAGAATGCAAGCTATCGTTTTGTATGAGATTCGTTCAAATAAAATACATTAAATCTGGCTTGATAATAATATTGAATGCAAATAAAAATACCAACAAGAAACGGAAATATTCAGGCGCTCTGGAAAAATAGCAGAATGACCAACAAATAAAAGGATGGACGAAGGAACAATAGATACCATATATGATGTCTCTCCTTTATCAGTGTTTTAAAATATTCATGATTATTTATTGTTATTATTTTCCTCGCGATATAAAAAAATGAATAGATATGCAAGCTAAAGTTGGATGAAATGAGTTCAAGAAAAATATATCAAATCAGGCTTGATTAAACAATTGAATTTTTGACATCTACCCACGGACGGGAAGTAAAGTTGTCTGACTCAAAATAAGTTATGTGCATTTCAAAACAAGATTACTATACACTTGTATCTTTCCTGCAATTAATATACAACAATACATCACATGCAAATTGACTTTTCAAAAGAAATTCTTACCTCATCCAAAGTTCTTGTTAAATCCTGCAAAGAAAAGGAAAACCTTTCATCCTGTTTGTAAACAGGAGTTTTAATTTTACGATTAATGTTCTAATCATTGTTGTAGACTTGATGTCATATTTAGATTATTCAAAATATTTTAAGTTGATAAAATCTGTTTATCTCAAAATTAGGATTAACCTATAACCTTGACTTGTCCCATACCAATCATATTTGATAATTTAAAAAAAAACAACATAAGCCTTGATTTAAGATATAACAAGACGCTGTAAAAATAACAACAAACCAGATTTCGCTTTCATTTTTAGTGTCATTTTAAAGCACTCAAGGGTCATATCTCATAAACAGCATGAGTGAAAATTGACACAATAACATTTGATTTCTATTTTGATTTGAGAAAATATATGTAAAACTTGAAAAACAAATTGATTGAATGGTTCGCAAGTTATTACACATTGACATTATAATTGGACACTTTCATACAACCCAGGAAACTGACTTTGAAGAAGAAATCTTACCAAACTCCGCCTTGGTCTGTTATCCTGCAAAAATAATGAAGACATTTTATCATGTTTGTATTCGGAGGTTGTAATTTTACGATGAAAATGCCCATCATTATTGTAAGCATAATGGCAGATTTAGATTGTTACAATAAATTTAAATATTGAAAGTGATTAATGGTGTTTTCTACAAATCATATTTAACTTATAATCTTGAATTATTACATACCAATTTTATTTGAAAATCTTTTGAACTATATATGACTCTTTTTTTTAAATATCATAAGACGCTCTAAAAAATACAGCAAACCAGATTTTGCCAACTTTGTTAGTGTCATTGTTAAAGCAATCAAGGGTCACAATTCATAAACAGCATAGTCGACGATAGCCACAATCCCCTTTGACCTCCAATTAGATTAGAGACAATACATATTCAAACTTGAAAAGAACTGATTAGAGGGTTGCAAGTTATTAAACGGAAACGTCATAAAATGGTATGTTCCATCAACCAAGGAACACAACTCTTGATCAGAAAAAGTGGAATCAACTAACAGAAGGATGGACGGGGGAACAATAGATACTATTTCATATGTCTATCCTTTATCAGTATTTTGATTTATTTATTATAATATATTGTCATTATTTTATGTTTAAAATAACAGATGAATAGAAAAAAGTAAATAACAAAAATCCCAAACTCCGAGGAAAATTCAAAACGGAAAGTCACTAATCAAATGGCAAAATCAAAAGCGCAAACACATCAAATGAATGGATAAAAACTGTCATATTTCTGACTTGGTACAGGCATTTAATGCAAGCTACAGTTTTGTGTGAAATTAGTTAAAGAAAAATATATTAAATTAGACTAAATTAAAATATTGAATGTCTGACTTCTACCGACCGACCTATAAAAACCGGACGGACCCAAACTATGTTATTTAAGCCTATAAAAATCGATCAGATTGAATACTAGTATATGTTATGAGCATTTTAAAACAAGAATTCTAAACATTTCTATCATTCTGTACAGTTGATAGACAATAATATATCACTTGACACTTGACTTTTCAGAAGAAATCTTACCGCACGACGCCTTGCCCTGTTATCCTGCAAAAAAGAAAACATTGTGTTATGCTTTTAAACAGGCGTTGTAATTTTACGATGAATATGTTTATCCTGGTAGTAGGCATGATGTCGTATTTAGATTGTCACAATATATTTATATATTGAAAGTAATTAAATATGTTTTTGTTCCAAATTATGATTAACCCATAACCTTGACTTATCACATTTCAAATATATTTGATAATTTTTATATCAACAAGACTCTTTTTAAAATGTTACCAGAAGCTGTAAAAACTACAGCAAACCAGAGTTTGCTTACATTTTATGTCATTTATAAAGCAATCAAGGAGCATATTTCCTGAACAGCATAAGTGTAAATTGACACAATCACATTTGACCTCCATTTGTTTTAAGAAACTTCATTTAATATTTGAAAAGAATTGATCTACTTGTTTTCAAGTTATTACACGGAAACTTCATAAAGCGTTTTTTTCAATCAACAAAGAAACATACCTGTTGATCGAAAAAAGTGGAAAGGAAAATCGAAATTGAAGAAAAATAAAATTAGCCTATACAAATACCACCAAAACCGGATATATTCTGGCGCTCAGGAAAAATAGCATTGTAATCAACCAACAAAGGGATAGACGGAGGAACAACAGAAACCATATAATATGTCTGTCCTTTACCACTATTTTAAAATATTCAGGATAAATATTATATTGTCATTATTTTCATCCCGTAATAACAAATGAATAGAAATGCAAACTATTGTTTTGGATGAATTTAGTTAAAGATTTATTGATTGTTGGTTGCTTAACGTCCATTTAGTTAAAGAAAAAACATATTTGAACTAAGGCTCAATGACTTCTACCAACCGACCTATGAAAACCGGACGGACCTAAAATATGTTATATGATTTTCCAAAAAGGAATTCTATGTACAGTTTGTAGACGACTTTTGAGAAGAAATCTTACCACATGCTTCTTTGCATTCTTATCCTGCAAAAAAAAAAAGAAGACAGTTTATCATGTTTATATACAGGAGTTGAAATTTCTCGAAGAATATGCATATATTTGTTACAGGCATGCCTCTTAAAACGTTTAAACCCGTTGAATTTGTTTGCACCTGTTCTAAGTCAGGAATCTTTTTTTCAGTGGTTGTCGTTTGTTGATGTGGTTCATGAGTGTTTCTCGTTTCTATTTTTTTATGTAGATTAGTCCGTTGGTTTTCCTGTTTGAATTGTTTTACACTGGGGCCCTTTATAGTTTTGGATGGAGAGTTGTCTCATTGGCACTTATATCACATCTTCTTATATCTATGATTTCGTATTTAGACTGTTTCAGTATCCTTGAATATTGAAAGTGATTTAATCTGTTTTTGCTCCAAATTACGATTAATCTTTAACCTTGATATATGACAAATCAATTATATTTTATAATTGTCATAACAATATCAGACTATTTTTACAATAATACCAGAAACTGTAAAAATATCAGCAAACCAGATTTTGCCTACCTTTTTTTAGTGTCATTGTCATATTCCTGAACAGCACGAGGTAAAATTTCCACAATAACATTTGACCTCCATTTTGATCTAAGAAACTTAATTTTTATATTTGAAAATAACTGATGGAATGGTTCGCAAGTTATTACACGGAAACGTCATAGAGCGATATTTTCAATCAACCAAGGAACATAACTCTTGATCCAAAAATTGAAAAGGAAAATCGTAATTGAATAATACTAAGATTAGGCAACCAAAATACCACAAAAAAAATATAAAAACAGAAATATTCAGACGCTCTGGAGAAATTGCATTGTGATCAAATAACAAAAGGATGGACGAAAGAAGTACAGAAACCATATGATAAATCACTCGATCACCAGTGTTTTGATATAATCATGATTATATATATTCATTATATTCCTCTCGATATATCAAATAAATAGAAATACAAGCTATAGATTTTTCGTTAAATTAGTTCAAGAAAAGTATATTGTGACAGGTTTAATAAAAAAAGTTAATATTTGACATCTACCAACCGTCCTATGTGTTTTTCAAAACAAGAATACTATAAATGTGTATGTTTTAGTACAGTTTATAGACAACAATACATCACATGACAATTGACTTTTGAGAATTAAAACTTACCACATGTTTCTTTGTATTCTTATCCTGCAAAAAAAAAGACACTTTATCATTTTTGTATACAGGAGGAATATGCTCATATTTGTTTTAGGCATGATGTCGTATTTAGATTGTTTCAATATCTTTAAATATTGAAAGTGAATAAAACTGTTATTTTCACCAAAGTTTGAACAACCTTTAACCTTGAATTATTACATATCAATTATATTTGATGATTTCTAAAACAATATAAGACTCTTTTTAAAATATTACCAGAAGGTTTAACAATGATAGCATACCAGAGTTTGCTTACATCTTTTAGAGCGTTTGTTTAAGCAATCATGAGTCACATCTGGGTCAAGATGCGCAATTCATTTCAGGTAGCCTTTTCCTCAATTTTTCTGTCCATATCGTAGATTTTGATATACATAATGGTTCGTTTTGTTGCACAGACATATTCACTTAACTGGTAAAAATTTCGGGGTACGAAAAGAGATATATTTTTCCGTAATTTAGCACACCCCGAAAAGCCTTGTGATGCAGCTTCTTGAACATGTAAGGAGGAACCATAGAAAACCATATAATATGTCTATCCGTTACCAGTGATTAGATATAATCATGATTGTATATTGCCATTATGTTCATCTCAATATAACAAATGAATAAAATTCAAACTATCGTTTTGTATGAAATTCGTTCAAGAAAAAAAATATTAAACCAGGCTTGATCTTAATATTGAATGCCAATAAAAATACCAACAAAAACGGAAATATTCGGGCGCTCTGGGAAAATAGCAGTATGACCACCTTACAGAAGGATGGACGAAGGAACGATAGATACCATATATTATGTCTCTCCATTACCAGTGTTTTAAAATATTCATGATTATATATTGTCATTATTTTCCTCGCGATATAAAAAAAAATGAATGAAAATGCAAGCTTAAGTTGGATGAAATTAGTTCAAGAAAAATATATTAAACCAGGCTTGATTAAACTTTTGAATGTTTGACATCTTCTCAAGGACTTTGTCTGACTCAAAATAAGTTACGTGCATTTTAAAACAAGAATACTACACACTTGTATCTTTCCTGCAATTAATAAACAACATTACATCACTTTTGACTTTTCAAAAGAAATTCTTACCACATCCAAAGTTCTTGTTAAATCCTGCAAAGAAAAGGAAAACCTTTCATTATGTTTTGTTCTAATCATTGTAATAGACTTGATTTCATATTAAGATTGTTCAAAATATTTTAAGTTGATAAAATCTGTTGATCTCAAAATTACGATTAACCTATAACCTTGACTTGTCCCATACCAATCATATTTGATATCTTTTGAAAACAACATTTACCATGTTTTTGAATATAACAAGACGCTGTAAAAATTACAACAAACCAGATTTCACTTTCATTTTTAGTGTCATTGTTAAATCAATCAATGGTCATATCTCATAAACAGCATGAGTGAAAATTTGCACAATCACATTCAATCTATATTTTGATTTGATAAAAAAAACATATAAAACTTGAAAAAAAAATTGCTTGAATGGTTCGCAAGTTATAACACCGTAACGTTATGATTGGAGAATTTCACACAACCCAGGAAATTGACATTGAATAAGAAATCTTACCAAACTCCGCCTAGCTCTGTTATTCTGCAAAAGAATACAGACATTTTATCATGTTTGTATTCAGTGGTTGTAATTTTACGATGAAAATGCCCACCATTATTGTAAGCATAATTGGAGATTTAGATAGTTACAATTAATTTAAGTATTGAAAGTGATTAATGTTGTTTTCTACAAATTATATTTAACTTATAATCTTGAATTATTACATACCAATTTTATTTGAAAATCTTTTGAACTATATATGAATCTTTTTATAAATACCACAAGACGCTCTAAGAATTACAAAAAAACAGATGTTGCCTACTTTGTTAGTGTCACTGTTGAAGAAATCAAGGGTCATTACTCAAAAAGAGCATACATGAAAATAGCCACAATCCCCTTTGACATCCATTTTGATTAGAGACAATACTATATTCAACTTAAAAAGAACTGATTAAAGGATTCGCAAGTTATTACATGGAAACGTCATAAAACGGTATTTTCCAATTGATCAGAAAAAGCGAAATCAACTAACAAAAGGATGGACGGAGGTAAAACAGATAATATTTCATATGTCTCTCCTTTACCAGTATTTTAATTTATTTATGATAATAATTATATATTCATTATTTTACGTTTAATATAAAAGATGAATAGAAATGAAAGCTATAGTTTTGTGTTAAATTAGTTCAAGAAAAATATGTTAACGTAGGCTTAATTAAAATATTGAATGTCTGACTTTTACCGACCGGCCTATGTAAATCGATCGGATTGAATATATGCTATGAGCATTTTAAAACAAGAATACTATACACTTGTATCTTTCTGTACAGTTTATTGACAATAATAAATCACTGGACACTTGACTTTTCAGAAGAGATCTTACCACACGACGCCTTGCCGTGTTATCCTGCAAAAAAGAAGACATTGTATTATGTTTGTAAACAGAAGTTGCAATTTTACGATGAATATGTTCGTCCTTGTAGTAGGCAAAAGTTTCAAGTTATGAATAACCCAAAACCTTGACTTATCACATTTAAAATATATTTGATATTTTTTGCAAAAATAGAAGACTCTTTTTAAAATTATAACAGAAGCTGTAAAAACTACAGCAAACCAAATGTGCATACATTTGTAGTGTCATTTATAAAGCAATCAAGGATCATATTTCCTGAACAATGTAATTGGAACAATCAAATTTGACCTCCATTTGTTTTAAGAAACTTAGTTTTAATATTTGAAAAGAATTGATGACTGGTTCTCAAGTTATTACACAGAAACGTCATAAAGCGCTATTTTCAATCAACAAAGGAACATGACTCTTTATCGAAAAAATTTGAAAGGAAAATCGAAGTTGAAGAAAACAAAATTAGTCAATGCAAATACCACCAAAACTGGATATATTCCGACGCTCAGAAAAAAATAGCATTGTAATCAGTTAACATAGGGATGGACAGAGGAAAAACAGAAACCATATAATATGTCTTTCCTATACCAGTGTTTTGTAATAAACATGATTAAATATTGTCATTATTTTCTTCCAAAACAAATGAATAGAGATGCAAGCTAAAGTTTTGGATGAATTTAGTTTTGAGAAAAGTATATCTGAATTAAGGCTTAATTGAAGCATTGAATGTTTGACTTCTACTGACCGTCCCATAACAATTGGACGGACCCAACATATGTTACGTGTTTTTTCAAAACAAGATACACTTCTATGTTCTTGTGCAGATTACAGACAACAATACATGACATGACAATTGACCTTTGAGAAGAAAACTTACTTCATGCTTCTTTGCATCCTTATCCTAAAAAGAAAGAAGACAGTTTATCATGTTTGTATACAGGAGTTGTAATTTTACGAAGAATATTCTAATATTTGTTTTAGATATGATGTCGTATTTAGATTGTTTCAATATCTTTAAATATTGAAAGGGAATATAACTGTTTTGCTCCGAATTATAATTAACCTATAACCTTGACTTATGACATATCAATTATATCTGAAAATTTTCATAAAAATATCAGTCTCGTTTTAAAATAATACCTCAAGCTGTAAATACAACAGGAAAGCAAATGTTGCTTACATCTTTTAGTGTCATTGTTACTTTTGATAACTGTTTACACCACTGGGTCGATGCCACTGCTGGTGGACATTTCGTCACCGAGGGTATCACCAGCCCAGTAGTCAATACTTCGGTGTTGACATGAATATCAATTATATGGTCATTTTTATAAATTTCCTGTTACAAAACTTAGCATTGTAATCAGTTAACATAGGGATGGACAGAGGAAAAACAGAAACCATATAATATGTCTTTCCTATACCAGTGTTTTGTAATAAACATGATTAAATATTGTCATTATTTTCTTCCAAAACAAATGAATAGAGATGCAAGCTAAAGTTTTGGATGAATTTAGTTTTGAGAAAAGTATATTTGAATTAAGGCTTAATTGAAGCATTGAATGTTTGACTTCTACTGACCGTCCCATAACAATTGGATGGACCCAACATATGTTACGTGTTTTTTCAAAACAAGATACACTTCTATGTTCTTGTGCAGATTACAGACAACAATACATGACATGACAATTGACCTTTGAGAAGAAAACTTACTTCATGCTTCTTTGCATCCTTATCCTAAAAAGAAAGAAGACAGTTTATCATGTTTGTATACAGGAGTTGTAATTTTACGAAGAATATTCTAATATTTGTTTTAGATATGATGTCGTATTTAGATTGTTTCAATATCTTTAAATATTGAAAGGGAATATAACTGTTTTGCTCCGAATTATAATTAACCTATAACCTTGACTTATGACATATCAATTATATCTGAAAATTTTCATAAAAATATCAGTCTCGTTTTAAAATAATACCTCAAGCTGTAAATACAACAGGAAAGCAAATGTTGCTTACATCTTTTAGTGTCATTGTTACTTTTGATAACTGTTTACACCACTGGGTCGATGCCACTGCTGGTGGACATTTCGTCACCGAGGGTATCACCAGCCCAGTAGTCAATACTTCGGTGTTGACATGAATATCAATTATATGGTCATTTTTATAAATTTCCTGTTACAAAACTTTGAATTTTCAAAAAAACTAAGGATTTTCTTATCCCAGGAATAGATTACCTAAGCCGTATTTGGCACAACTTTTTTGGAATTTTGGGTCCTCAATGCTCTTCAACTTTATACTTGTTTGGCTTTTTAACTATTTTGATCTGAGCGTCACTGACGAGTCTTATGTAAATGAAACGCCCGTCTGACGTATTAAATTATAATCCTGGTACCTTTGATAACTGGTTAAAGCAATGATAGGTCATATCTTCTGAACAGCATACGTGAAAATTGGAACAATCAAATATGACCTCTCTTTTGATTTGTGAAACAATATATCAAAATTTCTAAACAATTCGCAAGTTCTTACACCGAAACGTCATAAATTGCCATTTCCAATCAACCAAGGAAAATAACTCGTGATGGGGAAAGCGGACAGAAAATTGAAGTTGAAGAAAACTAAGATTAGGCCATACAAATACCATTAAAAACCAAATATATATCAAGGTGCTTCGGTAGAAATAGCAGTGAGATCAACTAACAGAAGGATGGACAGAGGAACAACAGATACCATATAATACGTCTATCGTTTACCAGTGTTTTAATATAATTATGACTATATATTATCATTATTTTCTTTTTCCGTTGCGATATAACATATGAACAGAAATACAAGCTTTTGTTTTGTATGTAATAACTTCAGGAACAATTTATTACTTAAGGCTTAATCAAAAGATTGATTGATTGATCCCTACAGTCCGACCTATGTAAATCTGACTCAAAATATGTTATGTGCATTAAAATAATAACATACACTTGTATCTTTCTGTACGTTTTATAGACAATAATTCTTCTCTGATAGTTCACTTATTAGAAGAAAATCTTACCTCATACACACTTGCAATTATATCCTGCAATAGAAAAAGAAGATATCTTATCATCATTATGTTTGAATACAGCAGCTATAATTGTACGATAAATATGCCGAAGAAACAAATGCAGTAATTGTGTAAATCGTGAAAGTCCTTTTCACACGATACTGCTTTGGCAGTTCCGTTTTAACCCCCACTCCCCCTTATAATGATAATAATAATATTATAAATAAAAAACCTCACATGTTTCACCTAAAAATGTTCTATTTATCTAGTTGTATTACATTCTGAGGCGTACAATAAGCCTAAAAACCCCCAGTGTTTACATTTGTCACTTGAAGCATATATATGACATCACATTGTTTAGTTCCACAGACGATTAAATCATTACGCGGGAGTTTTATATATGAAATTTTACACGGAAATGAATTGATTTGTGTATTTTTCATTACAATAGATATAATCGTATTGAGTTAGAAGCTTAGCCTACATTTAAATTGCGTTTTAATGTCGCAAATTGAGTTTACCTAGTCGTATAAATACAGGTTGGCGAAATCCAGAACAGCCAATTTTGAGTATTAATGCGTTTGCGTTGAAAGTAGATAAACTGTGATTATACTGGTTTACAATCTATTGGTCGTCAGGTTATAATTATCATTGTTGTATGCATAATGGCATATTTAGATTGTTCCAATCTTCATATTTTGAAGGTGCATTAATCTGTATTTTCTCCAAATTATGATTAACCAGTGAGCTTCAATTATCAATTGTATTTGATAATTTTTAAAACTACATACGATTCTTTTTAAAAGATCAAAAGACTTTGTTAAAATGACAGTACATCAAATGTTGCTTACATTTTTCAGTTTCATTGTTAAGGCAATCAAAGAGCATAACTCCTAAAGAGCGTCAGGCTCAATTGCAATATTGAATGTCGACTTTACCGACCGACCTATGAATATCGGTCTGACCCAAAATTGAGATCTGCATTTCATATCAAAAATACTAAATACTTGTACCTTTTTGTACATTTTATAGACAATAATACTATACACTAACATCATTCTGTACCGTTCTTAGACAACATAAGATCAACTGACAATGACTCTTAAGAAACGAAATCTTACCGCAACCCGCTTTGTATCGTTGTTCTGCAAAAAAAAAAGAAGTAATTAATCAGGTTTGAATACAAAAGTTGATATTTTGCGTGAATATGCATCATTGTCATAGAGATGATGTCATATTTATATTGTTCTAATATCTTTAAATATTGAAGTTGAGTAAACGTGTTTAATCTGTATTTTCTGCATTTAATGACTAACATATAACCTTGACCTAAATACCGATTATATTTGATAATGTTTAAACAATATCAAACTGCTTTTGGAATATAAAAAAACGCTGTTATAATGACACCAAACTATATTTTTCTTACATTTTTAGTGCCCTTGGTAAATCATTTAAGGTTCATAACTCATTTACAGCATTAGCATATTTTCATTTGACCTCCATTTCGATTTGAGAAACTGTACTTAAAAATTGGCAAAGGATTTTGAATGGTAAGCAAATACTTCTCATGAAAATTCACTCTTAAGAAGAAAATCTTACCTCATCCGAACTTGATATATCCTGCAAAAGAAAAAGAATAATTTTATCATCGTTATGTTTGAAAACAAAAGATGTGATGCTACGATGAATAAAGCGCCTTTTTCAATCAACAAATGGACATGACTCGTGATCGAAAAAAATTTGAAAGTAAATCGAAGATGAAGAAAAAAAGATTAGCCAGTGCAAATACCACCAAAACCGGATATATTCTGGCGCTCAGGAAAAATAGCATTGTGATCAGTTAACAGAGGGATAACGGAGGAAAATCAGAAACCATATAATATGTCTGTCCTTTACCAGTGTTTTGAAATATACATGATCAAAAATTGTCATTATTTTCTTCCAAAACAAATGAATAGAAATGTAAGCTAAAGTTTTGGATAAATTTAGTTTAAAAAAAAATCTATTTAAATTAAGGCTTAATTAAAGCATTGAATGTTTGACTTCTACCGACCGTCCTATAGAAACTGGACGGACCAAAAATATATAATGCGTTTTTCAAAACAAGATACAATTGTATGTTCTCGTACAGATTACAGACAACAATACATCACATGACAATTGACTTTTGAGAAGAAATATTACCGCATGCTTCCTTGCGTTGTTATCCTGCAAAAAAAGAAGACCGTTTATCAGGTTTGTATACAGGAGTTGTAATTTCACGAAGAATATGCTCATATTGGTGATAGGTATGATGTCGTATTTAGATTGTTTCAATATCTCTAAATATTGAAAGTGATTGAATCTGCTTTTGCTCCAAAATACGATTAACCTATAACCTTGATATATGACATATCAGTTATATTTAAAAATTGTCATAACACTATCATGCTCTTTTTTACAATAATACCAGAAGCTGTAAAAATATTAGCAAACCAGATGTTTCGTACATTTTTTAGCGTCATTGTTAAAGCAATCAAGGTCATATTTCCTGAACACCATAAGTTGAAAATTTGCACAATCACATTTGACCTCCATTTTGATCTGAGAAACTTCATTTTAATATTTGAAAATAACTGATCGAATGGTTCTCAAGTTAATATACGGAAACGCCATAGAGCGCTTTTTCAAGAAACATAACTCTTGATCCAAAAATTGAAAAGGAAAATCGAAGTTGAAGATTACTAAAATTAGACAATGAAAATACCAAAAACAAAGACGGAATCAGGCAATCTGGAAAAAAGCATTTGATCAACTAACAAAAGGACAGAGGAAAGAAATACAGAAATCATATGATATATCTCTCCTTTACCGGTTTTTTGATAAAATCATGATTATATATTGTGAATATATTCCTATCGATATACAATATAATATGTCTATTCTTTACCACAGTTTTAATATAACTTTGACAAATAGTAAAATCACAAAAATACTGAACCCCGAGGAAAATTCAAAAAAAGGAAAGTCCCCAATCAAATGGCAAAATAAAAAAAAACCAAACACATCAAACGAATGGATAACAACTGTCATTGTCCTGACTTGGTACAGGCATTTTCTTATGTAGAAAACAATATATTAACTAATGCTGAATTAAACATTGATTAATTGACACCTACAGACCGACCTATGTGAATCCGTCTGACTCAAAATATGTTTAACAGATGACAGAAATGCTAGCTACAGTTTTGTGTGAAATTAGTTAAAAAAATATAACAACTGAGGCTTAATTAAAATATTGAATGTCTGAATTCTACCGACCGTCCTATGAAAATCAATCAGATTGAAAATATGTTATGTGCATTTCAGAACAATGATACTATACACTTGTATCTTTCAGTACATTTCATAGAGAACAATAACTCACATGACAATTCACTTTTAAGAAGAAAATCTTACCTCATACACACTTGCAATTATATCCTGCAATAAAAAAAAAAAGAAAATATCTAATCATCATTATGTTTGAATACAGCAGTTGTAATTTTACGATAAATATGCTTAAGAAATAATGCGGTAATTCTATAAAACGTGAAAGCCCTATAAACACGACACTTTTTTTGGGGTTCCGTTTTACCTCCCCTCCCACCATATAATAATATCAAATATATTATTTTATTCAATAATTAATATAAAAAAACCTCACGTTTTCCACCTAATTCTTATCTAATTGTATTACATACTGAGGCGTACAACATGCCTGAAAACGCCCGGTGTTTATATTTGACACCGGAAGCATATATATGACGTCACATTGTTTTGTAATAGCATTTCGCGGAATTTTCCTTTTATGACATTTTACACCGAAATAATAACTAAAATAGACTGATTTGTTTATTTTGCGTTACAATACAAATAACTGTATTGTATTTGAAGCTAGGCTACGTAAAAAGTTGATTTTACTAAGGAATTCAAGGGCCATAAATCCTGAAGAGCGTCAGGCTCAATTGAAATATCGAATGTCGACCTCATCCGACCGACCTATGGATATCGGTCTGACCTAAAATAGTGCATTTCAGATCAAGAATACTAAACACTTGTACCTTTCTGTGCATTTAATAGACAATAATATAAAGTCAATTGTCAGGTGATGAAATGTTGTCTAAAAACTGTACAAAAGGATACGAGTGTATAGTAGAAAACAATCTTACCGCAACCCGCTTTGTTGTATCGTTATCCTGCAAAAAAAAAACAACTCCAAAATTTATCATGTTTGAATACAGAGGTTGAAGTTGATAAAACGTGTTTAATCTGTATTTTCTGCAAATAATGACTAACCTATAACCTTGATCTATTAAATACCAATTGTATTTGATAATTGTTAACCAATATTAAACTGCTTTTAGAATTTAACAAGACGCTGTTAAAATGACACCAAATCATATTTTGATTACATTTTTATTGCCCTTGGTAAAGCAATCAAGGTTCATAACTCATCAACAGCATATTAAGTGAATATTTTGCACAATTTCATTTGACCTCCATTTTGATTTGAGAATCTATATTTAGAAAATTGGCAAGAGATTTTTGAATGGTTAGCAAATACATCACATGACAATGCACTTTTACGAAGAAAATCTTACCTCATCCGAACTTGACATATCCATGATATCCTGCAAAAGAAAAAGAAGACATTTTATCATCCTTAGGTTTGAAAACAAAAGTTGTGATGTTTCGATGAATATGCTAATTGTTCTTACGATGAATATGCACATCGTTGTTGCAACCATAATGCCATAACTCCTGAGGAGCGTCAGGCTAAATTGAAATATCGAATGTTGACCTCTACCGACCAACCTATAGATATCGGTCTGACCCAGAACTGTGGATTTCAGATCAAGAATACTAAACACTTTTAGATTTCTTTACATTTAATAGACAATAATACAATACACTTGCATCCTTATGTACAGTTTTTAGACAATACTATATCACCTGACAATTGACTTTAAAGAAAATAATCTCACCGCAACCCGCCCTGTATCGTTATCCTGCATAAAGGGAGACAATTCATCAGGTTTGAATACAGATCTTGATATTTTACGTAAATATGAATCATTGTCATAGAGATAATGTCGTACTTAGATTGTTCTAATATCTTTAAATATTAAAGTTGATTAAACGTGTTTAATCTGTATTTTCTGCAATTAATGACTAACCAATAACCTTGACCTATTAATATCAATTATATTTGATAAAGTTTAAACAATATCAAACTGCTTGTAGAATATAGCAAAACACTGTTAAAATGACACCAAACCATATTTGGCTTACATTTTTAGTGCCCTTGGTTAAAACAATAAAAGTTCATAACTCAACTCAGCATAAGTGAAAATTTGCACAATTACATTTGGACTCCATTTCGATTTGAGAAACCTTATTTCAAAAGTTGGGAAAGGATATTTGAATTGTTCGGAAATACACAGCATGACAATTCACTTTTAAGAAGGAAATCTTACCTCATCTGAACTTGATATATCCTGCAGAAGAAAAAGAAGACATCTCATCATCATTATGCTTGAAAACAAAAGTTCTGATGTTACGATGAATATGCACATCGTTGTAGTAGCCATGATGTCATATTGCGTTTTGTGCAATATCTATAAATATTGAAAGTGAATAGATCTGGTTTTTTTAAATTATGACTAACCAAATAGCCTGCATTTATCACATACCAATCATGTTTGATATATTAAGACGCTGTTAAAATGGCCGCAAAAATGTTGCTTACATTTTTTAGGTCATTGTTAAACAATTCAAGGTTCTTAACTACTGTGCAGAAAAAGCGAAAATTCGCACTATTGCATTTGACCTGGATTTTGATTTGTAAAACTATATATCAAAATCTAAAAACAATTGATTAGATGATTCACAAGTTATTACACGGAAACATCATTAAGCACCTTTTAATCAATTAAGGTACATAACTCTTGATCGGGAAAAATAAATATTAAAATCGAAATTGAAGAAAATTAGGAAAACAAATGCTAACAAAAACCGGATATATTCACATTATTCAAATGGACTGGAAAATTAGCAATGTGATCAACTAACAGAAGGATGATGGGAAGAACAACAGATACCATATGATATGTCTACCCTTTATCAGTGTTTTATTATGATTATGATATCTTCTTTCAAGTTAACAAATTAATAGAAATTCAAGCTATAGTTTTGTGTGAAAATCGTTAATCAAAATAGTAAATGTTTGACCTCTACCGACGTCCTAGAGAAATTCGTCCGATTCAAAATGTGACAAGTGCATTTCAGAACAATACTATACACTAGTATCTTTATTTACAGTTTATAGACAACCATACATCACATGCCATTTGACCTTTGAGAAGAAATCTTACCGAATGCCGCCTTATCCTGTTTACCTACAAAAAAGAAGAGATTTATCAAGTTTGTATACAGAAGTTGTAATTTTACGACTAACAACCAGTCAGTACATTCACATCAATAAACAAAAAACAAAAAAAAAAAAGGAAATGAACAGCGCTTTGATTGCTGTCCTTTATCTCAAAGTCATTTGTATTTTCTCTTCAACTTATGGACAATAATACATCACATGTCAATGGAATTGTAAGAAAAAAATCGTATCTCAACCGAACTTTCTTTTAAATCCGCAAAAGAAAAAGAAGACATTTTACCATGTTTGTATACAGGAGTTGTTATTTTAACGATGGCATATTCAATTTTTCCAAATGCTTTAAATATTGAAGTTGATGCAATCTTTTTTTATCTAAAAACTAGATCGGAAAAAGTGAAAAAGAAAGTCGAAATTAAAGCAAACTAAGAATAGGCCATACAGATACCACAAGACACAGGATATATTCAAGTGCTATGGAATGAATAGCAGTGATGAACTAGCAGAAGGATGATCGGCTGAACAACAGATACCATATGATATGTCTATCCTTTACCTACTCGACTAATAAAAACTGAATTCCACGAAAAAGCACAATAGTGTTGAAAGTGGCGTTAAACACAAACAAACCAATCAATCTATCCTTTACCAGTGTCTTAATATAATCATGGTAATATATTGTCTTTACTTTTCTCTTAATATAACATGTATAACACATTATTAGAAATGCAATTATAGTATTGTGTGAAATTAGTTCAGGAAAGTTATATTACCTAAAGGCTTCATTAAAAGATTGATTGATTGACCTCTACAGGCCGACCTGTAGAAATAGGACTGACTCAAAATATGTTAGGTGCATTGTAGAATAATAATACTTCAGACTTGTATCTTCCTGTACAGTTTATAGACAAGAATACATCACATGGCAATTCACTTTTAAGAAGAAAATCTTACCTCCAACAAACTCGCGAAATCCTACAAATGAAAAAAAGTCATTCATTATCGTCATGTTTGATTACAGTGGTTGTAATTTTACGATGCGTATGCTCATCATTGTTGTAGGGATAATCTCTTATCTAGCTTTTCCAATATCTTTAAATATTGAGAGTGAATACATCTGCATTTTAATAAATAAACACGAAATGCTGATACATTTATCGAGTCGATGTATTGTTAATAGTTTATTTTAGTCTTTTTGTAATTTGGATCTACATTTTAGTATATTATTTATCAAATATGAGAATTTGATACAAATCGGTGATCATGAAATTGACAGCTTATGCCCCTTTAAGATAACTATGATAATATATTGTCATTATGTTCCTCACCACATAACAAATGCACTGAAATACAAGGTAGTGTTTGCTAAGAAATTAGTTCAGAAAAATATATACTAACTAAGGAATAAATAATAGATTAATTGCTTGACCTATACAGACCAACCTATAGAAATCGGTTTGGCTCAAAAGACGTTATGTGAATTTCAGAACAATTATACTTTACAATTGTATCTTTCCGTAAGTTTTATAGACAACAACATATCACATGAAAATTGATTTTTATGAAGAAAATCTTACCTCAAGCACACTTGCCGCTCTATCCTGCAAAAGAAAAAGAAGATATTTTTCATCTATATGTTTGAATACAGGAGTTGTAATTTTAGAATGAATATGTTCATCATTGTTGTAGGCATGATGTCATATTTAGATTTTTCAATATCTTTAGATTTTGAAAGCGAATACATCTGTATTTTTCGAAATTATGATATGTCAATAACCTTGATTATCACATACCAATTATATTTGATAAATTTTAAAACAACTTAATATTCTTTTTAAAATATATAAGACGTTGTTAACATGACAACAAACCAAATGTTGTTTCTTTTTTGTGTTTCATTGCTAAAGCATTCAAGGGTCATAACTACTGAACAGGATAAGCCATCTAAGTTAAATTGGCACAATCTCGTTTCACCTCCAGTTCAATTTGAGAGACTTGAAAGGATTGGTTAAATGATTACTTAGTTATACACGAAAATGTCATAAAGCATACTTTTCAATCAAACACGGAACATAACTTTTGATCGGAAAAATTTCCCCAATAATCGGACATACTCAGGTGCACTGGAATAATAGTAGTGTGATCAACTAACAGAGAGATGGACGGAGGAACAACAGATATTGTATAATTATGTCTTTCTTTTACCAGTGTTTTAATATTTTTATGATTATTAATTGTCATTATTTTCCTCTAAAGATAACAAATGGAAAGAAATGCAATCTATTGTTTTGTGTGAAACTAGTGAAAGAAAAATATATTATTTAAGGTTTAATTAAGAATTGAATGTTTGAACTCTACCGGCGACCTATGGAAATCGGTCCGACTCAAAATATATCATGTGCATTTCAGAACAATAATAATATACCATTGTATCTTTCTTTACAGTTCATATATAACAATACATCACACGGCAATTAACTTTTAAGAAGAAATCTTACCAAATCCCTCCTTGTACGGTTATCCTGCAGAACAAAGAAAACATATTATCATGTTGGTATACAGGAATGACATTTTACGATGAAAATCCCCATCTGTGTTGTAAGCATGATGTCAGATATAGATTGTTACAATATCTTCTATCCTCCAAATAACCTTTACTTATCAGAAACCAATTTTATTTGATATTTATTTTAAACTATAGAAGACTCTATTTAAAAAATCAGAAGACGCTGTAAAAATAATAACAAAATAGAATGTGCTTACATTTCGAAGTGTTATTGTTAGAGCATTCAAGAATCATCATTCATAAACAGCATAAGTGGCAATTGACACACTCACATTTGACCTCTATTTTGATTTAAGAAACCACATATCAAAATTTTAAAAGAACGGATTTAAAGGTTCAAAAGTGTTCACAGTAATGTCATAAAGCGGTATTTCCTATCAACCAAGGAACATAACTCTTGATTGAAAAAGGTGGAAGGGAATATCGAAGTTGAAGAAAGCTAAGATTATGCAATACAAATATCACAAAGAACAGGATATATTCAAGCGCTCTCGAAAAATGGCAGTGTGATCAAATAACAGAAGGATGGACGGACCAAGAAACAACCGATACCATATAATATGTCTATCGTTTTCCATTGTTTTATTACAATTATGATAATAGATTGTCATTATTTTACTCAATATAATAAATGAATAGAAATGCAAGCTATGTTTCTGTATAAAATTCGTTCGATAAAAATATACTAACTAAGGTTCAATTAAAACATTGAATGTGTGACTTATACCGACCGACCTATGCAAATCCGTCTGACTCAAAATTATTTATAACATAAACGGTAACAATTTTAATGTACCAGTGTCACATTTCGACAATTAACGTCCCTTCAGAAATGCTCAAAGCCAAAATATATGAAATTCCCGAACCTAATACAAATGTTGGAGAGCGGATCAAACCAAAAAGGACCTAAAGGATAGCCAAATCCCGACAACGAATCAGAGCTTTGCATGATTAAAATATATACAATTTATTCCTTAATTCAAAATAATTTCAAAATTTAAAAAAAGCAAATTTTAACCAAACAATATCTGTATGTTCATGTCAGTATCGAAGTCCTGGCTACTAGGCTGGTGATACCCTCGGGAACAAACAGTCCACCCGATGAGGTATCGCCCCTGTGGTAGTAATAACATAAACGGTACCAAATTTAATGCACCAGATACGCATTTCGACAATCAATTTCTCTTCAGTGATGCTGGAGGCCATAATATTTGAATATCCAAACCCTAATACAAATGTTGAGGAGCGGATCAAACTAAAAAGAACATATAGGATAGCCAAATCCGGATAAAGGGTTATGTGCATTTCAAAACAAATCAAAGACAACAATACATCACATGACTTTAAGGAAGAAAATCTTACTTCTTCCGCACTCCTCTTTGAATCCTGCAAAAAGAAAACAGAAAACATTTTATTATGTTTGTATACTGGAGTTGCTATTTTTACGATGAATAGTCTAATCATTATTGTAGGCATGATGTCATATCTAGATTGTCCCAAAACTTTAAATATTAATATTCAAGTTGATTAACTCTTTCTTCTTCAAAACTATGATTAACCTATAGTAAACTAGACTTTTCACATACCAATTTTATTTGATAAGTTTTACAACAATATGAGACTCCTTTCTACAGATTTAACAAGACGATGTTAAAATGACAGCAAACCAGACTTTATTCACAATTGTTTTTGTGTCATTGTTATAGCAATCAAGGGTCATATCTTTTGAACAGTGTGAGTGAAAATAGGCAGAGACATATTTGACCTCCATTTTAATTTGAGAAACTACTTATTCAAATTTGAAAAGAATTGACTAAATTGTTAGCAAGTTATTACAAGGAAACGTCATAAATCGCTATTTCCAAACAACGAAGGACCAGAACTATTGATCAGAAAAAGTTTAAAGGAAATTAGAATAAAGGAAACTCCGATTAGGCAATACAAATACCACCAAACACCGGATATATTCAGGTCCTCTAGAAAAAAATACAGGGTGATCAACTACAAGACGGATGGACGGAGAAACAACAAATAACATATTATTTTGCAAACCTTCACCAGTGTTTTAAATATGATTATGATAAGATATTGTCATTGAATTCCTCTCAATACAGCAAATGAATAGAAATGCAAGCTAAAGTTTTGTGTGAAATCATCAAAAAAAAAAAAAAAAAAAAAAAAATAGAATTACTTATACTTTATTATGATATTGAATGTTTGACCTCTACCGACCGAACTGTACAAATTCGTCTGTCTCAAAATATGTTATGTGCATTTAAAAACAAGAATAAGATAGACTTGTATCGTTCTTTACAAATAATAGACAACAACACATCATATAACTTTTAAAACGAAAATATTACCTCATCCGAACTTGACTCTAAATCCTGCAAAAGAAAAAGAAGACATTTTGTCATGTTTCTATACAGGTGTTGTTATAATTTCACAATGACTATTTTAATCATTGCTGTCGACATCATGTTATATTCAAATTGTTCAAGAAACTTTCTATATTAAAGTTGTTTAACTCTTGTTTTCTTCTCAAAACTATGATTTACCTATAACCTTTAACTATTACATACTGATTTTACTTGATAATTTTTAACAAGTGTGCACACGCTGAATTGCTTTACTGACAATTCATTTTCATTTGAAATTCTTAAAGATAAAATTTTACGACAAGTATCATATAAACTTTTCTTTTTTTTTTTAAAGATTCAGGAAAATGAGTTCAAGGTCAGATAAATCCTGTCAGACAGACACGTACGCCCAAAAATTATTCAATACTCCAAATGTATTTTACCTTTGCTTAAGGTAATTGAAAAACAGACCAAAACACAAAAAAAATAACGTTTACCAATGAATCATGAAAATGAGGTCAAAGTCAGATGATACCCACTAGACCGCCATGTACACATTACATATATCAAATATAGTTGATCTATAGCTTATGGTACTTGATAAAACGGACTAAAACATAATATTTTTTTATCAAGCAGTCGCTGAGCACTGAGAATGAGATCAAGGACAATGGACATATGACAGACGGAAGATTCATAACATGATGTATCTGCATACAAGGTAGGATACATCCAGGTCGTTAACCTTCTGAAATATAAAGCTTTATACAAATAGTTTACGCCGCCGCCGAATAGCATTCCCTATGCCTCACATTCTGCGACTTTCAGGCGAGACCAAAACAAAATCAGACTCTTTTTCTGATTTGGCATGAAGCTGTTAAAATAATAGAAGGATGAACGGAACAACAATACATAAAATACTATTTCCTATCCTTAACCACTGTTTAAATATAATTAAGAAAATAAATTATCATTATTTTCCTCTCAATATCACAAATAGAAATGCAAGCTATCGTTTTGTGTGAAATTCGTACGACAAATACATAAACTAAGCTAATTTAATTTAAAGTATTTAATGTTTGACTTTTTATAACTGACCTGTGATAATCAGTTGGTCAGATTAAAACTTGAATACTATACACTTGAATATTTCTGTACAGTTTATAGACAATTTAAAGGTCGTACGGGTGCCTATATTTGCTTACATTCACTTCATTTGAACTTTGGTGGATAGTTGTCTCATTGGCAATCATACCACATCTCCTTATTTTCATAAACAATACATAACAATGCCAATTGACATTAATTAAGAAGATAATCTCACCACATGCTCATTTTTTGCGTCACCCTGCAAAAGAAAAAGAAAACATCTCATGTTGGTAAACAGGCGTTTTACGATGAATATGCATCATTGTTAAAGAGAATATGTCAAATTTTGATTGTTCCAATATCTTTAAATATCCAAAGTGATTAATTTTGTTTTTGTTCCAAATTATGATTAAACTATAACCTTGACTTATCTTATGCCGATTATAGAATGTTCCTTTTTTAAACAATAAAAGACTGTTTCAAAAATATTATCAGGCGCCGTAAGCATGACAACAAGCCAGATTTTATTTACATTTGTAAGTGTAATTGTTTAGGCAATCAAGCGGCATATCTCCAGAACAGTATAATTAAAAATTGGTACAATCACATTTGACCTCCATTTTGAATTTAGAAGCTCTATAATAAAATATGATAAGAATTAATGGTTCGCAGGTTATTACCTGGAAACGTCATAATGGTTAAAAGGATGTTATTAAAGATGAATGGCTCCACCTAGCTTTAACATCCTAGATAATAAGTAGAAATACATGTATCTTCTGCTTTGCAAAATTAAGCTAGGAGTGTTCTCCATTCTTACTAAATCAAAAATTCCGGAACCAAAAAGAACCCTAAAAAAATCCCATTTTTCTATTAAAAAAAGCAGCGGCACCATATGTGTTTCGCGTATTATTCACACCCAAAAGGTTTTGAAAATTCAGAATTTAATATTTTGTCAACAGAACTTTTATAGTGAAAACGCAGGACAAAAAAAAAAAAAAAAAAAAGGCTACCATTGTCGCCTATGTAAATAATATGTAAATAATTACTTCATTTTATTCATAAAGGGCTTATTCAAATTAACCAAGGAACATGGCTCGTGATCGGAAAAAGTGGAAAGGAAAGTCAAATTGAATAAAAAACTAAGATAAGGCATTACAAATACCACCAAAAAAACCGGATATATTCAGGTGCTCGAGAAAAAAAAGCCGGTTTGATCAACTAACAGAAGGATGACGAATGAACATAAGATACCCTATGTGAGGTCTATCTTTACCAGTATTTCAAAATAACTATGATAATATATTGTTATCATTTTCTACTCAATATAAAAAATGAAAACTACAAGTTATACATTTCTTGCGTTCGAAGCGTTTTTCTAGATTCGCCTTCATCAGGAACTTTCAAAGTCGAATATTTGAAAGCCAAGGTTGTGTAAGAATCGAAACAGTTGAAGAGATATATGGCCAAAACCGACCTTAACATAGCCAAACCAAGTCTAAGGTCAACTTTGCCTGAGGAAGTTGAAACCTTAGTTTCTTTATAGTTTCAAAACCATGTCAGTACCGAAGTACTGACTACTGAGCTGATGATACCCTCGAGGACTGATAGTCCACCAGTAGAGGTATCGACCCAGTACTGTAAAAAATGAAACAACAAGTTATAAATTTCATGCGTCCGAAGCGTACAAATGCGTAGAAATACAATATATGGTTTTGATTAAAATTAGTTTAAGAAAGATTTATTAATTAAGACGTTATTGAAACATCGAATATTTGGCCTCTACCGTCCCGCCTATGAATATCGGTCTGACTCAAAACATACTATGTAGAATACACGAATACAAATAACTAGTATCTTGCTGTACCGTTTATAGACATCACATGACAATTGACTTTTAAGAAGAAAATCTTACCTTAGATCGACTTGCCATTATATCCTACAACAGAAAAAAAGGCATTTTATCATGGTTGTATACAGAACTTGTATTTTATTATGAATATTCTTATCATTGTTGTATAATTAACTATAAATATACTTATCATTGTTGTATTCTACTATGAATATTCTTATCACTGTTGTATTTTACTATGAATATTCTTATCATTGTTGTATTTTACTATGAATATTCTTATCATTGTTGTATTTTAGTATGAATATTCTTATCATTGTTGTATTTTACTATGAATATTCTTATCATTGTTGTATAATTAACTATAAATATACTTATCATTGTTGTATTCTACTATGAATATTCTTATCACTGTTGTATTTTACTATGAATATTCTTATCATTGTTGTATTTTACTATGAATATTCTTATCATTGTTGTATTTTAGTATGAATATTCTTATCATTGTTGTATTTTACTATGAATATTCTTATTATTGTTGTATTTTACTATACATATTTTTATCATTGTTGTAAGCATGATGTCATATGTAGATTGTTCTAATATGTTTATTTTATCAGTTTTCCCCATATTATGATTAACTTATAACCATGACTAATCACATACCAATTATATTTCATAATTTTGAAAACAAAATTAGACATTTCTTTTAATATAGCATAACGCTGTAAAAATTACAGCAAACATGATTTTGCATACAATTTTAAGTATCATTGATCATTGTTAAAGCAACAATGGTAATAATTCATTAAAAGCATGAGTGAAAATTTACACATTTACATTTGAACTCCATTTTGATTTAGGAAACTAAACATCAAAATTTGAAAGGAAATTGATTCAAGGGTTCATCCGTTATTACACGATAACGTTATTATAGGCCCGGGTAAATAAGTCAAGGAATGTAACTCGGGGCGGGAAAAAATGGAAAGAAAAAAGTTGAAAAAAACTAAGATTAGGCGATATCAAATACCGAAAAATCCCGATATATTCAGGTGCTTCGGAAAAAAAGTCCAGTGTGATCAACTAACAGAAGGGAGGACAGAGGGGAACAACAGAAGCTATACATATTTTATTGATAAATCTATGATAAGCGGTTTAAATAAAAAATGAAGATAAAAAAATAATGCAACTAAATTGTCATCTTTACTTAAAATGCATGTTTCATTAAAGATCTAGACTTGTTGTTATCTCGCAATTCCAAGATTGCAGAAAAAACCCGTTTAACCATAAATGTCATGTCGTCAAGACAAATACCCGCCCAATACAAAGATACCCGTGTTTTTTCAATCAACGAATTTCCAAAATGGCCCTATACATATCTAGCGATTATCGTATTGACAGAAAGAAAGAAATCACAAAAAGTCCCTCATTGCCATCAGTTGAGCTGTTTTGTCGCTGGCTTGTACCAGGAAGGGTCAATTTCATTTTTTCTTATTTTAAAAAGGAAACGAATGTATAAGAATGAGCTTGAATTAGTATAATATCTCTTTACAAGATTACTCGAGGAAAACAAATTCATTTACCTTATATAGCTATTCCAATTACGTCTTGCTGTTTAAAATCATTTTGTTTTTCGACCTTCGGGTGATAGCCATCTTATGTGAAGAACAGGAAGATAAAGTTAAGCTGAGTCGAGGCAATTAACAACAGCTCCTATATTAGTTGTACATATTTACACAAGCTACAGAAAAAGCAATAAAAATATTATCGACTTACCAGATAATGTGTTTATCATACAAATTATCATATATATACAAATACGATTACTAAGAAGAGGTTTAAACTGAAATTTCTCAGTAAAATGAAATAACTGAATAGAAGAACAACTCCGATCGGAACTTTTGTTAAATATAAAAAGAAAATTGTAAATGATACAAAGCTTTTTTTTATTATATATATCAATAGTAAGGTGAATTTACTGCACACAAAATCGAGGGCAAACTCCCCGGCAGTTCCAGCTCCGATCCGCATACTACTCTGCACTAATTAAATGGAGCAATGAAAAATAGTTCCGACACGAAAACGATCACTACAAGGAGTTTGCACCGAGGTCCAACATGATGACAGAGGAATTATTCGAAAAATAAAGTGATGCATGTTTAATTAGGGTTAGGATTAGGGTTAGGGTTAGGGTTAGGGTTAGGGTAAGTGTTTAATTTGTTCTGAATTCGCATGTAATATTTGCCAATATTTATGGAGCATGAACGATGACTAGTTCATGATCAAAGATCATGAGATCACATATTAATTCTTTCCTACAATGATTTTATTTGTGTTGATGTCATATTGTCAGTAGTAAGCGTAAAAAAAGAAACAGGCCAATTTTTAATTAAATATTAAAATATAGACATGTGTACTATAATTTGTCATTTATTGAACGTGTGTTAAATTGTCCGAGTTTTTTGTGGTTTACTTTCTTCGTTGTTTGCTGGCATTGGTGTAGTAATGTCAGTTGGTATAGATGTGAACTGTTTTATCATGAAGGTTTATGTAAAATGTATTTTATTCTATATTCAGTAGAAATATTTCCCTATGGTGTATACGTATTTTGTAACAAATCGCGTTTCCAAAATCATAAACTTTAATTTCTGCCGGACGTGCTTTTGTATATAGATATTATTAGATCTACGTGATAATATTATTTTGAAGTAATGTCCTTATACATACACAGGATAAAATTACAGTTTGAATGTAAACTGATCATGACAGGAAGATATGGTCAGTGAATATTATCGTTTTATCTAAATAGAGTTTTAAAATAGAAACGACGTATTCTCTAGCTAGTTTAACGTTATATATAGTAATTTACGTGCTTCATTATTTATATATAAGTATAGTGCACATTAAACATATAACACGTGTCAAATGAATAATAAATGAAGTATAAAAACACGATTGTATTTCATAAATTCAAAAATAAAAATAATAATCACTCAATATGACTAACACATTATCTTTCAAAAGCAAATAAAATATGTTTTGCTTTCCATTTCTTTAAACGAATAAAAATTTATCTTTTGCAGGTAATTGAAGTTCATATTATCAAGTTCTCTCTAACAGGATTATTCAATCATGTGTTCAATTCTATTGGCGGAGAATAACTGTGATGTCTTTGGGGATAATACACTCAATAGTTTCCAAGTGTCTCCGTTGTCTTTTTCCCTTTTACAGACTGTATTTGTCTTTGCTTTTTAATGTCCAACGTTCTTCGGTTATGTACACATGTGGTTGATTAGATCATATAATGATAGATACATGATTTCGCTTTTCTGGTTAGTCTTCTTCACTATTGTTATTTTCTCATTAAATATTTTCCTACGTCGTGAAGGCAGACAAATGATTCAATCGATGGAAATCAATTTTAATGAAAGAAATAATTCATAGAATTTGATTGTTGTACGAAGTTCGTACACAATTCACACCAAGTTATTCATGTTATTATTAAAACCTTATTTGCTTTCAAATGCTATTATATGTTTGTAAACTTTTAAATCGGTGAAATGTTCGCCATTAAATTTGAAACGATAACAAATACAAACATGTCATTTATAAGTAAGAAAAAGCTCATCTGGTTCGTACGCACGAACTGGCCCTTTCTAATGATCTGTTCTTTGGCCTACTCAAAATCGTCGGAATTAAAGCCTTTGGTTATTTTCAAACTAACTCTGTTCAGTTTTGGTTGAAAAGTGTTTTGTTTCGTCTTCAAATTTAACAATTTAACAATTTAAAATGTTAAACAGTTAACAAATTAAACATGTGGAAAAAGAAGTACAACTAATAGCTACCCATGACTTACTCCGATTTTTGTTAAGAAAAATACATTAAAACACACGAGCACGTCTTTTGACCGAATACGGATATTAGAATAACAAAAAAAAAATTTTTCCAAAATCAACGGAAAAATCTTTTTCCTTAAGCTTATGTTCTTTATTGACGAATTAGGGAGCTGGGGTACACGTCAATGCACAATTGTAAACTAAATGCATCTAGAAGTAAACATTGTAACTGTCGCTGCTTATTAATTGTAAGACTGATTTATACTCATGCATGGGTTTCGATTTTCTAATCCCGGTTTCACAAATTAAGTAAACTATCTTCTTGCTCTTTTAAATTTATATTGTTACCGTATTAATATATTCTAAATTTCATTATTCATTGACAATTTATACTAAGCTTTATCAAAACAGTATATATTTATATATTTTTCAGAAAAATAGTAGAAACCTTTATTCTTTTTTATATGATATCATAACTTACACCATATACATGAAGCTTTTTATTTTGTAGAAATTGATCAGCTGAAGAATCTTTACAAGCTTTTACAAAATAATGCTTGCTCATTTGTCTCAAATTTATTATTGTGGACAGGAAGAACTTGCATAGACAAATTAAATCAAATTTGAGATTCGCCTATTGTTCAAATTTTTTTTCAATTGGAAACTAATTGTTCAATTCAGAATAGAAATATGCAAATTTTGTTTGATGGTAATAAACCATTCATTAGCGTGCTTTTTGAGAAAACAAGTTGTGATATATATATATACATAATTAAAAAGAAAATGAATCCATCATAATGAGCTCAAATTAGTATAGTGTCTCTTTACAAGAGTGTTCTAGACTAAAACAAATACATTTACCTTATATAGCTATTCTAGTTACGTCTTGCTGTTTAAAAACATTTTTTTTTCGACTCTCAGTTGATAGCCATCTCATGAGCAGGAAGATTAAGCTTAGTCAAACCGAGGCAATTATCAACAGCTCCTATATCAGCTGTACATACTTACACACACTTCAAAAATTTTAATCTACTTATCATATAATTTATTTATTATACAAATTATCATATGAATATTAGATTACCAAGAAAAGGTTTAAGTTTAAATTTCCCAGTAAAATGAAATAAATAAATAGAAGAAAAACTTCTATCGGAACTTTTGTTAAATATCATTATAATTTTTCAAATAATACAAAGCTTTTTTGAATATATCAATAGTAAGGGGAATTAAATCCACACAACATCGAGGGTCAACATGATGACTGAAGCGTTATACAAACAAAAAGTGTTACGCGTTTAAGTTTATTCTGAACGCGCAGGTAATATTTACTAATGATCATGGAGCTTAAACGATGAACTGTTCATGATCAAAGATCATGAGATCGATCACATATTTATTCTTTCCTACAAGGCTTATTTTATTTGTGTTGTATTGAAGTGTCAGTACTAAGTGTAAAATAAAGAAACAGGGCGATGTAAAACATGATATTAGACTATAAACATGTATTCTATAATTTTGTCATTTAATGAACGTGTGTTGACTTCTCTCAGTTTTTTGTGGTTTCATATTTCCGCTGGTTGCTTGAATCGATGTACAACTGGAAATTGGAAAAGATGTGAACATACGTTAACGAGCATTAGTTTATTATTTCTATCAATTCAGAAATGTGATTCCATCCTGATATTGCAACTAAATAATAATTGTGATGACATTATCATGCAAATATTGTCAATTGCATTTATTTAGCTATATATAAGCTATTTGATAATGTTCATATCAAACCTTTAAATTGGTTGTATTTTTAATCATATATTCATCGCCATGGTACCCTCCACCATTCACAAGACAAACCTTATTTTCCAACAATTCATATTACTTGTGGCAGCATCTACTTTTAACAAAGAGAGTACTGAAAATTGTATTGCATAATTTCAAACTGCTTACATGTCGTATCTGGAAATGTATTATATGATGCAGTGTTAAAAAATGAAGTAACCTAAAAAAACTATTTCTACAATGAATAATTGCTCAGTAGTAAGGTTTAAATTCTGGTCTAGTTTTTGACTCAACCAACCTCCAACTTCAGATAACACCATACGTCATAAGCTCTCTTTTTCAGTTTTTCTGATAGAGATATATTAAATACAGTTTCATCCAGGATTTAAGCTTTGTCGTTTTTTTTTCTCACTCTAAGCAATATAAATTCATTGCAACAACGATTCATTGCTCAAACTATTGACTCATTCACATTCAATTTTGATACCATGAGAAAACGGGCTACATGCATTGAGTACGGTTTGATAATATAGTTGTTAAACCTTCTTTTATAGCTAGTTAAACCTCCCACTTGTATGACAGTTACATATAGTTTTGTTATATTAGATGAGCAACCCAAAACAGCTTTAATAATTGCCAATTATCAGGATCAAGCAGCCAAAACTGTGTAAACATACATCATCGAAGAACAAACTGACGAAAAATTGAATAAACACTTTCTCGAAGAATATTAGAAGAAGCCGATTTATCTTTCAGGTATATAAATCACTGCATAAGAGATACTGTGACAACAGGATTGAAAACAGCTGGGAAATAGACCGTTCAATGATGTCTTAAACTGGGCGTTAAACAGCCTTCTATCCATTTTTAACTGGCACATGAATTTAGGTCATTGGACAGCTATATTGAAGATCCAACTGACACACAACGGCGAGAGCTCTCCAATTTAGATGGCTTTGTTTTTTATGTCTTAATCAAAGTTTTGGCGAAGACGATACCAGTTAGACATAAAAAATAAGAATTGTCTCACATATACATAATATTGCAACCATTCTACAACAATTCTTAACTCTAAATATTAATCATTCAGATAAGTTATGACAAATGTCTATGTATCTCCTAAAT